GCCTTCACTGCAACCTCCTTAATATTTGTAGCAAATAGTGGTTTTAATTTGTTTCTCGTGACTTGTATAATGTTCATTAATATACCAGTACATTTAGAACTCCAACACTAGGAATATTGGAATACTAGTGGAACTGAGTTAAAGCAATAAACCGTGGTAAGTATTAAAGATGTAGAATTATGGAATTTAACATTTTTAAAGTTACTTTGGTTACAGAAAGCCGATGACGAAATAATATTCTAGGAAAATCTCGGTTGACACCTGGACCATTATTCACCTTTAAAAATTGTGAATTGGATTAGATTCACTTTGTTCAAAAATGCCGAACCTTATTGTAGATTTTGGACAGTACACAACAGCATTGCAATTTTTTGGGCTGAGGTGTTTCTAAGCAAATAAGTATACTGCGTTTCAATTAATGTAGTTTGTTTTAGGATTCAGTTTCTGGTATTAAGAAACAGATATACTTTAAATTTCATCTTGTTATAGAGGAGCCCAGAAAATATTTGAGTGAGTCTATGATAATATGTGTAAAGGGCTTTCCGAAGTTTATGACAAAGTATTCATCCAACATGCAAACACGGTATTTGTGCTATATACATTCGAGAATCATTGGAAACGATGGCTCCCTTAAATGTATATTGCTCTATGTAAACTGATCATTCCCTTTTGTTTTTTTAAGGGATGAATAAATGTATATATTTTTCTCTTTCTTTTGTTTACTTTTATTTACGAGAATTCATGTGTTGAACTAGTCTGGAACAGCTTCCATTGCCGGTTTGCAATATTTCATAGAAAACGCGTATAACTTTGTATTGTTTGCCTCATGTAAGATCAGCTATTTGCCTTAAAAGGGACAAATAGCCCAAATTTCATGAGACAAACACCATAAAGGTACAGTAGTAATTTTTGTGATATTTTGTTCAATCGCATCCAGATTATCCAGTTTTTTTTTAGGTTGTTTCTCCAATGGTCAGAGGAAGATTACCGATGCCTTATGTGCGACGCCACTTTCAAAACTATAAACGAATTATGCTCCCATTTCGAAACCCATCAAGCCAAAGGAAAGTGCGTCTGTACAGAATGTGGCCTGATCGTTTTACGCCGCTCTTTGGCGAAGCACTTCAACGAAAAACATCCCCATAAACGCAACTTCTCTTGCCCTATGTGTGAATTTACCTGCACTGTAAAAACCAGCGTGCAAGAACATATCGCAATGGTGCACACTAACAATTACAACTTTCTTTGCGACATCTGCAGTGTCGTATTTCCCACAAAGACTGATTTCGAAACACATCAGGAAGTAGACCATGGTATCGAACCCACAATAGATGAAGAACGTACTTCAGTAAAAGATCGCATAGACAGTCATAGAGACGTTTTTGTGTGTGATATTTGTGGGGCTTCTGTTAAGACGATGCATATGTTAAAGAAACACAAACTGAGGCACACGGTTCAAAAAAGTACTGTTTGTAGAATTTGCGAAAAAAGATTCTTTTCGAAGAATGCTTTAAGTGCACACATGCGAGCTCATACAAAAGAGAAGTCTTTTCAGTGTGACCAGTGTCAGAAGAAGTTTGCTGAGGAAGCAGATTTTACTGTTCATGTGTGTCCGCGCGTTAAAAAATCATATCGTTGCGAAGGTTGCAAGAAAGAATTTGCTAAGAAGCTAACACTGCAACAACATAGTTGTGATAAAGGTGTTATAATTTATACAGAACATTTCTAAGTAATAAAACAGTTTAATGCATTGTTGTTTTTTTGTGCTGAATTGAATTTGTTTTTTACGCTAGATGGAACACAAACATTTTTATTGGAAGAGTTCTCAAATTGATACGTCCAACTTAGCCACTGATGTAATTTTTACTAGTGAAAACTTATAGGTACAGCGACGCAGTATGTAAGTAAATAAGTTTTTAAGTTTTTAGTGTGGTAATGGCTTATTTGCTGCTTAAGTTGCTGTAATTTTTATAAGTTCGTCACGGTGGTTTGTGGTAATTCCGCTTGCCTCGCAAGAAATGTAGGAAACAGTTGCATGTATTTGCTACTTGCATGTCTAGCTTTTAAATTAAAGTACTTATTAATTATTTTTGAAAGATCTGTTTCTTATATTTTAGAATATTAACGATTTGGAGTTTAATATAAAAATCCTTTTAGGGTACCGTATTGCATTCTATACATCAAAGAAAATCCCTCTGAACTCGACGAAAAAGAAGCTGAAGATGTAGAAGTCTATAGTTATGAATTTAACACACGCAACCTGTATCCTTTTCTGTGCGAAGTCTGTGGTAAAGGCTACAACCGCGAATTTTGGCTGCACAGCCACCAATTGGAACATTCCACGAACACCTCAGAAAAAGACCCTCTAGCTTGTGACATTTGTAACAAAACCTCGAAATCTTCACGAAATCTAAAGAAACATAAAGAGAACGTTCATAATAAGTCCAGTCACTGGATGTGTGATGTTTGCGGCAAAGTTCTATATTCAAAATATACGTTAGAGTATCACCTGACAGGTCACAATAATGGAAATCGACAGTACACTTGTGAAATTTGCGGCAAAACTATGACGTCATTCGGTAGCCTTCAAGGTCACTTGCTTTTACATTCCGTAAAGTATACATCCTGTAGTGTTTGTGGAGAGTTCTTCAACAATAAAAATAAATTAATCCAGCATGTGCAATTTGCCCACCAAAATGACGATCAATTCAAGTGTGACAAGTGTGGAAAGGGCTTCGATGGGCAAACAAATCTCGCGGTTCATAAGCTTGTGAAACATAATCGATTGAGGGGTTTGGGAAAAAGCAAATTTGGTTCGGAAGTGTTCAGTGGAGTCTAGAATACTTCGGTGTTTGGGATGACAAAATAAGTTGCAAGAAGTTGCTAAATTGATGTTAAATTTTTTTTTTTAAGTTTAATTTTTGTTTTCAATGTTGAGTGTATATTTTTTCAGAATAAAGTTGATTTTGTTATAACTGAATCCTTCGTTCATTTAATAAATCGTGGTGCAGTTATAGTCAGACTTCAGCAGCGTGGAAGTGATCATCATTGTCGTCCGATCGCCAGCGCTGTTGCAGTCGTGGCCTACAACTTCAGGAATTCTTAATAACAATTACTACTTTTTCTAGGTTTTGCTCAGTTATACGAGTTCTCCTAGATGTTAAAATGCTTTAAAAATTAAAAATGACTGTTCAGTATCCCAATTTTCGTGATGAGCTTGATTAAATAAACCCTGAATTTATCGCCTGACGTCGCGCCATCGTTAGTAGATGAAATATCTACTATTTCGACCTTTCGCAGTTCGTGGAATACGAAAATGCAACTTTTCCGTTCTCGTCTGTCTAATACGTAAGTCTATTATGACAACCTAATAAACAGGTAACCTCCAAGCCGATTGATTTTATTTAAACATTTTAAGTGTATTTTAAAATTAATATATGGATTAAACCTACAATAAAATCTCTATGTTAATTCTCCTAGAAAGTACGTAACGGATTTTCCATTTTAATATAAAATACTAACACAAATTTAGGAATTATTTATTCATTCATGTCTGGGCGCAAGATATAGTGCAGTTATAGTTTAATTGTTACTCAAATTGCCTTAATATTTAGGAGTTCGCCACAATGAACTGCAATTAATCCGCTTGCCCGGAGAACCTTCTCCGATTGTAAGAGCAACAAAAACTATTTCAATACGGTACGTGGCAAAAATGGTTCTAGAAATATTTGAAAAGAGAGTTAATCTCTTTTATTGCTCTTTAAATACCGATTGTGAGAGTAATAAAAGTGAATAACTTTCTTTTCAAATATTTCTAGAACTACTATACTTAACTGACTGTCTGCAACTTCGCAATTAATGTGAATAATTTTTATTGGCGATGCTAGGAAGAGCGTCGACTCGTTGGTAATGTGAACGACATACCAAAAGCTTCCACAAATTTAGTGTTTCTGGATTAGAGCGGGATTGCAGGCAAATCTCAGACTCGACGACTTTGCATGAATCGATCGGAGACCTTTTCTAAGAACTGCTATGTTAAAGTGAATCGATATTTATACGAATTTTACTGTTGTGCACCCTGTTTAACTTATGCGGAATTTATGGGACCCCTAATCTCTACCAACTGTAAAATTGTTAATCAAAAGAAAATCGTTTATTGCTTTTCCAGAGCCGGGTTTAGTGTTCGTTCGTCCAACCGTCTTCATGAGATTTACTTACGTAGGACAGGTACAGGATTTCAAGAAAATGTATTCGTAATCTGTTTTTGCGTTTGGGTTGTATACAGAGTGTTCTAGATAAAACTTCGTGGCCTTATATCTTGACACCGGATAGAAATATTGAAATTATGTAAACGGCATTGCTTTTAGATTGAAGGTGGAAGCTTAATTTGGTATATTTTATATTGCGAGTACAACGGCGTTTATATAATTTTAATATTTTAATCCGTGTACAACGAATACAAGCTTTATATGGGACACATGTATATTAAACGAGTCTGCAAATTAATTTGAAGCCAAACAGATCGTTTTGCGTATGCAACACCTATATGGCGAAGTTAATTGACATTATTTCAAGAAAAGTGAGTCATCAAGGTGTTTCCCGACGGTGGCAAGTGGAAAACACAAATTGTGAATGTAGTGAACGTTAGTAAACAATAAATAATTTTTCCAATTTAAAAATATTTCAGATACGGTCCTGGACCTTCGTGGGTTCAGATGCCGCTCCGTCGATTTAGCAATGCCAGGAAAGACCCGAAAACTTAAATAGGGTACAAAGCTGTAAAATTCATGTATCTGTGCATTTACCTGTTCCCCCTTTATTACTCAGGCTCTTCGGACCACAAGGTCTCGGTTTTATGAATGCTAACCCGACCGTAGTGTGGTTGTTCTCGAAGACAGTATTTTTTGATTTGTGATTGTGTAAACCTTTCGTTCCGTTCATTTCGTGCCGTTGTGTTGTGGTGGTTTGTACTAGTTAACAGTTATAGGTTGTGGAACTCTATGTTTGCGTTACGGTTACAGTGTCAGTGTTCTTGATTTTTGGCGCCATAAATGGAACACAATAGATATTTATGCGGAATTTTCATCACGAGGTGTAACACGTGGTCAAAAATAAGGAACGAATAACGGTCATTTTACCTTGTTTTCAGTGAGGTTTAACGCAACTCTAATTCATTTTTCGTATAGTATTTTTATTTTTGATCATTTACAGCAACCTGCATAAAAATGGTCCACATATAGCAACAATCAACTTAAAAATACCCTTCACCACCTCTCTAAACTTATCACTGTTTTTATGCAGGTTGTAATGTTTAAATAATATGATAATTTAGTGAAGATAAAACATTACAAATATAGTATGTCACTTAAAAATCGCCATTGGTGTACCTACTCTTTATAATGCTTATTTTTTGACCATATATTAACCATTTTCTTTTTCAGGCTCTTTTACACAATTACGAACTTGACTCAAATTCAGATTCCGTGTAACCTATGTGCACAGACTTTTCCCACTGAAAGTCAGTACTATGAACACAAAATAGTCCACGTGAAGGAGAGAAATGAGTCAAGTCATCACACCAGACCGAAACTAGTACCTCTTAGAGAAATAAAACCAGCTCCAGCCCCTCCAGCACCACCTCCGGTCAAGATAGTGCCAGCACCTTGTAGAATTCCTTGCAATCTTTGTCCGGAGACTTTTTTTAGTGAAAGTGAATATTATACGCACAAAATTATCCACGTTAAAGAAAAGAATTGGATGACTGCGCTGGAAAGATTAGAAAATTCTAGTGATAAGGTGAATAAGGTGAAGTTGACAGCTTGTGAAATTTGTAAGCAGGTTATGCCTGTGTCCAAGATGGGTAAACATAAGAGACTTCATACCAGATAATTATGATTTGTTTATATTTAAAATAATAAAATAATTACCACAGAGTTTTGTTTTTGTTTGTCTCTAATTTTTAGTCCTCTATTTTTGAGCTTTGGGTATTCAACATCCTCCATTCAACGGGTAAGAAAACTTGTAATCGAGTAAACCCGAATGCAATATATACTTGATTTTTTGAATAATATGATTAATCTTGTATTTTCAGGTTGTTTTGGTCTGATTCTATAAATGAAGATTCTCACTCCGTTACTTGTACCGTTTGTTTCAAAGCATTTCCGTCCAACTTTAAGCTAAAAAGACACCAATTACGCCATAGAGAAAGAACGAAAAAGTGTCCTTTCTGTTCACGCATGTTTATTACAAACGAAGAAATACAAACCCATATAAAGTTCGTCCATGAGAAAAAACGAGAGGTCGTTTGCCAGATCTGTGATTATAAAACCCACACCAACGCCACTTTAAAAATGCATATAGTAAGGCATCACACTAAAGACTATTCGTTTACGTGTAAAATTTGCAACATTGGTTTCGCTAGTAAAGGGAGTTTTAACAATCATGTGGATATCGTTCATGAAGGACGTCGATTGGTCTGCGAAGTGTGTTCCAAGTCTTTCAAAACTCAAGGCGCTTACAAGGAACATGTAGAAAAACACGACCCTAACAAAGACAAAAGCGTTTTTCGCTGCCAAGTTTGTAGCAAACTGCAAGGTTCAGCAAGCCAGATGAAAAGACACGTGCGGGAGCACAAGGCCACAGTCGAGTCGTACCTTTGTGATATATGTGGAAAGAGTCTTACTTCAAATACAAGTTTAAAATGCCACATTCTAACTCATACGGGTGTAAAGAAATTTGTTTGTGATAGTTGTGGTAAAACGTTTACCACAAAGAAGCTGCTTGTGGTGCATACAAGAGTGCACACAAGGGAGAAACCGTTTAAGTGTGAGACTTGCAATAAAGCCTTTTCGCAGAGAGGTAGCCTTACCATTCACATGCGGTATCACACCGGGGAGAAGCCTTACAAATGTGATGTTTGTCCGAAGGCGTTTGTTTCGAAAACGTTACTGAAAGGCCATAAATGTAAAGCAAGTTTATGACTTTAAACTTAAACTTTATTGTAGTTTATTTGTCTTTTATGTTTTCTAACGTGTAAGAATAATAATATTGATATTTTTATGCCATCGTGAAATAAAGCTGGTACCTTATACATTTCCATTTATTTTCACAATGTTAAAATATATATAAAATAATAACGAATAATTTGGTGCTAGTTCTTAATGAACTTAAGTTACAAGTAAATAAATATCATTGTTAAAAAACACAGCTCTAAAACTTGCATTCTTTCTATTGTTAATTATTCGTCTTATTTCGTTTCAGCGTAAGTGTGACTTTTTATGTTTAGACAAATATATTTTTAATTCTGATCGTAAGTTAGGGAAGTATTGTGAAAGTGTCAATTTGACGAACGACTAATTTTATGTTTTTTCGACGTTTCGTGACTTACAATTCGAAAAAATGTCTGTTTCTGTTTGTTGTCGTCTGTTGCTGGAGTTATTGGACAGATTTTCGAAACTACCAAAATTTGATCATTCCCACCAACAATTTGATAACCAACCTCCTCATAACCCTTTGCTAAGTAAATCCTATGTAAATATTGTAAAGTGATAGGAATCTATTGGTCTGATTTATTAATAGCCTAGTTCTTAGACTAGGTCTTGAAAATTGTACAACACCGATTTCTCTGAAATTTTAAATCTAAATATGGTGAATTCCTAAACAAAATTTATCTGTTTACCCCCTTCTAAAACTTGATGACGTCAGGTTAAAATTTGTCTAGGTTTTTTATATTTGAGGGTGGAGGTTTGGAATTTTGCACATAACACTTAGTGATGTGGCCTTGACAAACGTGTAAAGATTTGTGTTTAAGTTAGTTGTACAGGATGATTAAATTTGTAATTTGCAAAATATCATTCATGGTATTTTTTTCAAATATTTTGTGACACTTTCGAATTTATACTTAAGTAACCTTTTGATGCCGTATTTGTTGAGGTTTATAATGTATATATTTTTGGAATCATCGTAGGATAAACCCTAACAAATCTGATTTCAGGACGAAATTTATTTAAAGATATGTTCAAAAATGTTATAAAAATATAGAATATTTCGTTTGAAAAATATGACAGAACTGACAATTGCCAAAGATAATCATCCTATATAAACTAAACCATCGTCAGTAGAGACCTAAAGTATATTTCTGAAATAGTGTTTTCTTTTTTGTCATAAGGCTCTAGATTTGGAAAATTATCTATAGGGCGTTTAATTCAAAACAAATAATTTTATTGTGTAATCTTTAAACGAAATGCTTTGAGAATGATTGTAGATTGTCGTTCTAAATGTGTTCTACTCGGTTGTACCAGGAATATTTTCATTAGTACATAAATAAATGCGTGATTTTCCACATTCGAACTATTTGAAGGTTGGAACATCCTGTATACACTGACGATCGTTCAATTTAAGTATGTATTTTTTGAAAATTTTTATTATCTACGTATGAAATTATATAAGATTGGTTAAGGTGGCATCAAGAAAAAAACCTAATGTGGAGAAATTTGGTATGTAATTAAATTATAAATCTCGAATATTAATAAGCTCTCTTTTAATAACAATTGCGTGGTCGCTATGTAGTGTCAACTTGTTAGTGTTTTTATATGGGTTTTTTTAATAAGTTAATAAAAATTTGTTTGTGATTCTCGATTTTCACCTCTATTTAAATAGCTGATTTCACTGTATGACACGATTATGCTAAATTTGTGTTTACTGTAAAGTGAAAAAAAAAAATGTATAAAATTACTTTGTTATAGGAAAAAACATTGAGGTCTAATATTTTTTATAGTAAATTTTTAAATTATGATGCATTTGTTTGTCTGTGGGTATTTTTACAATTTTTTCAGGCTGTCTTCTTTTCTGTCTGTCTGTCTGACAGATAATCTCCGAAACTACTGGATCGATTGTTGTCAAATATTGTATGTATATTAAGAATATCATGTAGGTAATAAAACGTTAACCAACATTTTTGTAATCATCCCCACCAATACTGTCATGACACTACCTCAAAATTTTCGCAAAAAAATCGAAATTGCATAGCAATCTTTTATAGTGGTGTATGAGTGCGTGCAAGGTTATCTGTTATATCTTCTATTGATAAATTTCTAGAACGGGACGCCCCAGTGTATTATTATTAGTATTACATTGCACGTGTCGGAATTGACAAACGTGTCATTTCATGGGTTGACGATAAGGACGCTCTAGAGTTGCATTTTCTTGTTATGTTGAAAAACACCTTGAGTACTACAAGATACACTAGTAGAAGATGTTTATGATAAATCCGCAATATACAATATACACATGTATTAATGCTTGTTTTGTTGTTTCTATTTTTTTTGGCGTAGTATATGTTCTCCAATTTGTACTTAGTAACAAATAAATTAATTTCAGGTTAACCGCTTCGGAAGACACTGGAATTCTCAGTTGCTCATTTTGTCAGAAGACGTTTTCGTCCATACGTAAACTGCGTAAACATGAGTATTTACACAATAAGACAGTTAAGTGTCTTTATTGCGACAAATATTTTTCACATAACTACAATATGATGACTCACGTTAACAATGTGCACGTCACAGTAAGAGAAATGTTCAAGTGTGACATTTGCGATTATACCACTAAACATAAATTATCCTTGAACACTCACATAATGAGCAAGCACACAAGCATACAAGACTTCGCTTCTACTGTATACAAGTGCGAAACGTGTGACAAAAAATTCCCGTCAAAAAGCCAACTCGAACGCCACGAAAAAATTTTCCATCAAGGTTTACGTCATGTTTGCAAGACTTGCGGAAAAGTTTTTAAGAACGAGGCTTTTTTCAAAAAGCATTGCCAAACCCATGATCCTGATTACATCAGGCCGGTTTTTACCTGCGAAATCTGTTCCACTGTTTTGCGTAAAAAGGAGGCATATAAGAACCATATGCAGAGACATAAGGGGCAAGTGGTTAGTTATGTTTGTGATATATGTGGTAAAGTTATAGCTACTTTAAATGGTTTGAACCAACACAAGAAGATACATGCAGGGAAGAAAAATTTTTTATGTGTAACTTGCGGAAAAGATTTCATTAGAAATCAGTCTCTGGTTGTGCATAGTAGAGTTCATACGAAGGAGCGGCCATTTCAGTGCTTGATTTGTGGTAAAAGATTCACTCAGAAATCTTCTCTTAATATTCATACGAGGTATCATACGGGGGAAAGGCCGTTTGAGTGTACTGTGTGTTTAAAGAAATTTGTGACTAAAACTTTATTAAAAGACCACATTTGTAAAACTTAGTATTTCGAAGTTTTGGTTAAATGCGAGCTCGATTTTTAATAAAGTAATTTTGCTTCATTTTGTGTGTATATTTCTTTAATCCACTCAAAATGTAAAAAAATGTCTTTCTTTAAAGAATATTGTGTTTTTAGAAAAGAAGTGTGAATAGTTGTTAGTGCATAAAACAAATAAAAATTAAGTTATTATTATGTTGTTATAAAATACAGGGTGTTCACATCGAATGCCTATAATAAAACTTATTTCGATACTTACATTACATACCGAGATTTGTGTTACATCAGTAAATATTTTAAATTACAAAAGGTGTAGATGCTGTTTATGTTTAAGAAATTTTATCATCTCTTTGTGTGCTTGGGATATAAAGGTTTTTTGTATCTTTTAATCCCGGAGGTTGCGATGGGTACTCCAGAACAACCTCGATCGACTCGGAATTATTCTGTACATAATCTGTGTATAGTTAGTCGTGGAGTTTTGTATTACTGTGAAATAAATTGTTGAGTTTTACCCACGCCGATTTTAATTAACGATGATCGTAAAAATAACATTGGTGAGAATTTTGTGTAGGCAACAATTTTGATGTAGAGGTTTCTTTTTCATTTCTTTCTTTTATTGTCGTCGTGTGTGTTCTCTAATTTGGTCTTAATAATAAATGAATTAATTTCAGGCTTCCCACTCCAGAAGAAATTGGAATTCTCAGTTGCACGTATTGCCAGAAGAAATTTTCGTGTCCACGTAAACTGCGCAAACACACCTATTTACATAATAAAAGAGTTAAATGTCTTTACTGTGACAAGTATTTCTCACAAAAGTACATGATGATGACTCACGTTAACAATGTGCACGTCACAGTACGAGAAATATTCAAGTGCGAGATTTGCGATTACACCTCCAAGTATAAATTATCAGTGAAAACTCACACAATCAGAAAACACACGAAAGACTTCGCTTACGCATGCGAAACCTGTGGCAAAAAATATCTAACGAAACCTGAACTTGAAACTCACGAAAAAAGTAATCACCAAGGGTTGTGTCATGTGTGTGCCACCTGCGGGAAAGTTTTTAGGAATAAAGACTATTTCAAAGACCATTGCAAAACCCATGATCCTGATTACGTCAAGCAGGTTTTTACCTGCACCATCTGCTCCACTGTTTTGCATAAAAAGCAGGCGTATAAGAAACATATGCTAAGACATAGCGGACAAGCGATTAATTATGTTTGTGATATATGTGGAAAAGTTATTACTTCCTTAGCTAGTTTGAAGCAACACAAGAAGACACATACGGGGGAGAAAAATTTTTTGTGTGTAACATGTGGGAAAGACTTTGTTACAAATCAATCTTTGACGGTACACACTAGGATTCATACGAAGGAGCGACCATTTCAGTGCCTGATTTGTCATAAACGATTTACTCAGAAACCCTCTCTTAATATTCATATGCGGTACCATACTGGAGAGAGGCCATTCGAGTGCACCTTGTGTTCGAAGAAATTTGTGACTAGAACATTATTAAAAGATCACAATTGTAAAACTTAGGCCAAACAGTTAATGTTTTCATGTTGTGTTTTAAATGAACTCGATGTTATAACAATAATTTAGCTCAATTTTCTCTATCTTTTTTTAATTCGAGCAGAATTTGGAATCGTGCAGAAGTTTTATTTAGCAATTAGTTTATGGATGTATGAATTATGTATATTTTTTTAAGAATATTGTATTATTACAAAAGAAAAGATTAGAGTGGAATTTAGGTGTCATAAAATCAAAGCTGATTGTTTTTTGACGAACTGAGCTTTTTCGGTATGTAGTTTTATTAGTGATATAAGATTGCTTCATTTTGAGAAGACCAATAATAATATTTTTGTCTAAATAAGTTTAAACCTGGATTAAAAAAAAATACCACTCTTACCAGACCTAGAACGGTGAAATTTTGTAGAAGTAAGTAGGGCATCAAGCTAAAGAATTCATTAAGTTTTCAACAAAAACTGACAATGTTTATAGGTAAATCGATTGCATTTTGAGGCAACGTGTCTCAGGCTATCTACAACTGTGGACGTAATTCGTCTAATGGGAAGATGAGGTAATCGACGCAGTCTTTTGTCCATCATGTCCCAGACTTGTTCGATTGGATTTAAGTCAGGTGACCGTGGCGGCTAGGGCAAAAGATTGACATTATTTTCGGTCTGGAAGTCTGAAGTCATGTTAGCAACATGAGGACGAGCATTATCTTCTTGGAAAATATTAGTTCTAGAATGAAAGTTGTGTTTGTATCGTATATTATTTAATGGTTACTACATATTTTGGAAGATCGGTGTTTGAAGTCTCGGAGAATTTTGTGTAAACAGTGAAGTGGTCAAGTTGTTTTTGACAATTTGACAAAAACTAAAAACAAAAATACACTAGTGATTGGCTTGTAGTTATACAATACACCTAAAACTGTTCACGCGTGTTTAATTTTTGATTTTGATCTGGATGTTTATCTTTTGTTTCTTTGTTTTTTGTTATCCTATATGTTCTCTAATTGGGACTCAGTAATAATAATAAATGCATTATTTCCAGGTTCACCACTCCAAATGACACCGAAATAATCAGCTGCACCCATTGTCAGAAGATATTTTCCTCCGCAGATAAACTGCGGAAACACATGTATACTCACAAAAAGACAGTTAAATGTCTTTACTGTGATAAGTATTTTTCCCATAACTATAATATGATGACTCACGTTAACAATGTGCACGTCACAGTAAGAAAAACCTTTAAGTGTGAGATTTGCGATTATACTGCCAAATTTAAAACGTCAGTGGAAATTCATACAACCAGAATACACACAAAAGACTACGCTTACGAATGCGAATCTTGTGGCAAAAAATATCTAACGAGAAGTGAACTTGAAAATCATGAAAAAATTTATCACCAAGGCTTACTTCATGTTTGTAAAACTTGCGGAAAAGTTTTTAAGGACAAAGAGTATTTCAAAGAGCATTGCAAAAGCCACGATCCTGATTATATCAAGCAAGTTTTTACTTGCGAAATCTGCTCTAGTATTTTACATAATAAGTATACGTATAGGAAACATATGAAAAGACACAGTGGACAAGCTAATAGTTATGTTTGTGATGTATGTGGAAAAGTTGTAACCACCCTTGGAGGTTTGAGGAAACACAAGAAGATACACACAGGGGAGAAAAAATATCTGTGTGTAACATGTGGGAAAGATTTTGCTACAAATCAGTCTCTGATTGTGCACACCAGGGTCCACACGAAGGAGCGACCGTTTCAGTGCCTGTTATGTAATAAACGATTCACTCAGAAATCTTCTCTTAATATTCATATTCGGTACCATACTGGAGAGAGGCCATTCGAGTGCACCTTGTGTTCGAAGAAATTTGTGACTAAAACATTATTAAAAGATCACAATTGTAAAACTTAGGCCAAACCGTTAATTAGGATGTTTGCCCAAAACAATTTCTTATAACGTTTTTCTTATACTTACACTTATAATTTATAATTATTGTTATAAGTATAAGCATAAGAAAAAATTTTATAAGAATATGTTTTGCGCAAACATGCTAATATCTTGATGTTTTCTTTAAAATGAACTCGATTTTTATAATAATAATTTAGCACAATTCTCTCTGTCTTTTTTTAATTTAAGCAGAATTTCGAATCGTTCAGAAGTTTTATTTAGCAATTAGTGTATGGATGTATGAATTATGTAATTTTTTTAAAGCGTATTGTATTATTACAAAAGAAAATATTAGAGAAGATGGAATTTAGATCTCATAAAATCAAAGCTGATTTTTTTTAGCGAACTGAGCTGATTGTGCACACCAGGGTCCACACGAAGGAGCGACCGTTTCAGTGCTTGATTTGTACTAAACGATTCACTCAGAAATCTTCTCTCACTATTCATATGCGATACCATACTGGAGAGAGGCCATTCGAGTGCACATTGTGTTCGAAGAAATTTGTGACTAAAACATTATTAAAGGATCACAATTGTAAAACTTAGGCCAAACGTTAATATTTTGATGTTTTGTTTAAAATGAACTTGATTTTCATAATAATAATTTAGCTCAATTTTCCGTCTTTTTTTAATTTAAGTAGAATTTCGAATCGTTCAGAACTTTTATTTAGCAATTAGTGAATGGACGTACGAATTATATAATTTTTTTAAAGCGTATTGTATTATTACAAAAGAAAAGATTAGAGAAGATGGAATTTAGGTCCCATAAAATCAAAGCTGATTGTTTTTTACCCAACTGAGCTTTTTCAGTATGTAATAATCATAATAATAGTCTAAATAAGTTTAAACCTGGATTTAAAACAAAAAATACCACTGTTATCAAGCTAAACAATTGATTAAGTTTTCAACAAAAACTGACAATATTTATTTATAAAAAAATTAATAATGTGTTGCATCGCCGCCCAATCTAATGCACTCAGCAACCCTTCCAAACATACTGGAAATCAGATGATCGATTGCATTTTGAGACAACATGTCCCAGGCTATCTACTACTGTGGACGTAATTCATCTAATGGGAGGATGTTGTAAACGACGCAGTCTTTTTTCCATCATGTTCCAGATTTGTTCGATTGGATTTAAATCAGATGACCGTGGTGGCCAGGGCAAAAGATTGACATTATTTTCGGTCAGGAAGTCTAAAGTCATGTTAGCGACATGAGAGGGGGCATTATCTTGTTGGAAATTATTAGTTCTAGAATGAAAGTTGTGTTTGTATCGTATTGCATATTTTGGAAGAGATGTTTTTCACATAAAAAGCTGACATATAAGAGACATATGCAGAGACACACTGGACAAGCGATTAATTATGTGTAATATATGTGGAAAAATTATAACAAGACACATAGAGGAGAGAAAAATTTTCAATGTGTAACATGTGGGAAACATTTTTTTTAGAAAACAATCTCTGACTTTATACACTAGGATTCATACGAAGGAGCGAGTGCAGCTTGTGTTTGAACAAATTTGTGACTAAAATATTATTAAAACGTCACAGTTGTAACGCTTAGGTCAATAGTTAATATTTTGATGTTATGTTCAATATGTACTCGATTTTTATAATACATATTTTAGCTTGATTTTCTGTGTATATTTCTTTAACCCATTCAGACTTTCCAAATTTTGTGAAGTGTTGTTTAAAGTTGAAAAAAAATTAGGCTGACCAATTTAATCATTTTATATAAATAAATTTGAACTTTGTTCAGTTTCTGCATGAGTGACTAGGAGTCAGTGCCGAAACCAGAGAATATTTAGGTATAGGCGAACCTTGCGTTAGGCGCCCCTCCTCTATACATAAAAAAATGCAATTTTACAGAACAGTTTTATTTATATTTTTTAATAAGTATGCAAAACAGATACTATGATAAAATATAAAAAAAAGAAAAAAATTCGAGATTATACATATAGGATATAGGTATATAATATGTATGAATATGTAATATGTTTCTGAGTTTCCGTTCAAAATAAAAAAGATTAATATGACATAATTCTTGGTACAACATAATTTTTGGACGAATTTGGCGCCCCTTGTCGTTGGCGCCCCTAGGCAAGGGCCTACTCGGCCTATAGCTTGTTTCGGCACTGCTAGGAGTAACTATAAAGCTTCACGTAACCTTCTAAATCGCCATCTTAAACAATCGTGCAGATGTTAAGTTCTTATATTTATCTGAATCAATTTTTCCTTTTTGACATTAAAAGAGTTCAGGAGGATAATTGTATGTTTTCAGTGGTTTGCTATAAATGCGTAGTCTTAAAATAAGTTTTTGACTCCCACCACTGTACCATCCTGAAGGAGCAGACTTAGAACTGGACGTAATTCATCTAACGTGTTGAGAGGACGAGGTAAAGGTCGCAGTCTTTCATCTCCCATATACTAGACATGTTTGATTGGATTTAAATCAGGTGAGCGTGGCGGCCATGGCAAAAGATTGACACCATTTCAGCGATATGAGCGCGAATATTGTCTATCGGTCAAGAAAGTTCTGCTGGATCCTTAATAGCACTTAGGAGCCGATCTTATCATTGTTGTGTTGCGCTAGGACGTCCACTACCTCTACGGCGAGCTTCTAGGTCTTCTTCCTGTACTGTGACATGGAGTTGGCCAAGTTGATCATGCATACCCACAACTCCTTGTTTGACTTTACGCCTTACTTATTTGTATACAATTTTAGCATTATTAAGTTCCTTCAGGGTGGTACATATTTTTTGAACCGCAGTGTATAAGGAGTTGGTTTCGCTGTACACACTGAAGGCTTAAAATAAAACTTATTTAGAAACTTACGTTACTTATCAAGATTTGTCCTAGCTGTGCTTAGTATAAAGGGGAAGAAATTTTGGAAGAAGTAATATTAAAAATTATAAAAATAAAAGAAGCTATTTACGTTGAAGAAATTTCATGATTTGTTTGTGCGCTATGGGATACAGACAAAAACATATTCGATTTTTAAACAAAATAATTTAAAGTTTAATAATTTTCTGTATGTATTTTATTAGCCCAGTTCGAATTTTTAAATGTTGTGAAGGATTGATTAGGTATGATTTTATGTAGCCATGAATTATGTAAAAAATATGTCGCTTTTTTTTTTAAATGTTGTATTATGAAACAAGGGACTTTAAGGTGTTTACATTGGAGGAAATTGTTGTTTTTACATAGCAAAACAAATGGAAATTAAGTCTCACAAAATCAAAGTTGTGCATAGTGAAATGATTGTTTTTTCAGTCATTTTATTTATGATCTTATAAAATACAGGATGATTTGAAAAAAATAGAAAAAAATTAACCATTATTAAATTTATTTTATATTAAATAACAATAACAAAAATGATAAAAAAAATTCTTACGGATAAAATCTTGTTGTCATAAAGAGTCTAAATTTGTAAAATGATTCTTCACTCATCAAATTACTGGAACCCTCTGGATACATGATGTTCAAGTTATATCTCCGCGATCTTCTTGAAGAATTTTGTGTATAAAAACACAAAATTCACTAGTGATGTGCGCTTGTTATAAATGTGCAATAGACTTAAGTGTTAAGGCGTGTGTATGTTGCAACAATAATTTTCCCGTTTTCTTTATTTTTTGTTCGTCATATATGTTTCTAATTTGGGCGTGGTAATAAATCAATTAATTCCAGGTTTCCCACTCCGGAAGACACCGAAATTATCAGTTGCACGCATTGTCAGAAGATATTTTCCTCCGCAGATAAACTGCGGAAACACATGTATACCCACAACAAGCCAGTTAAATGTCTTTACTGTGATAAGTGTTTTTCACAGAAGTCCAATATGATGTCTCACGTTAACAATGTGCACGTCGCAGTAAGAGAAACTTTTAAGTGTGACTTTTGCGATTATACTGCCAATTATAAAACGTTAGTGAAAAGTCATACAATCAGAATACACACAAAAGACTACGCTTACGAATGCGAAACTTGTGGCAAAAAATGTCTAACGAAAAGTGATCTTAAAAATCATGAAAAAATTTATCACCAAGGCCTAGCTCATGTTTGTAAAACTTGCGGAAAAGTTTTTAGGAATAAGGAGTCTTTCAAAGCTCATTGCAAAACACACGATCCTGATTATATCAAGCAGGTTTTTACCTGCGAAATCTGCTCTACTATTTTACATAATAAGTATACATATAAGAAACATATGAAAAGACACCGTGGACAAGCTAATAGTTATGTTTGTGATGTATGTGGAAAAGTTGTAAATTCTTTACCTAGTTTGAACCAACACAAGAAGACACATACAGGGGAGAAAAAATTTGTGTGTGTAATATGTGGGAAAGATTTTGCTGCAAATCAGACTTTGATTGTGCACACCAGGGTCCACACGAAGGAGCGACCGTTTCAGTGCCTGATATGTAATAAACGATTCACTCAGAAATCTTCTCTCACTATTCATATGCGGTACCATACTGGGGAGAGACCATTCGAGTGCACATTGTGTTCGAAGAAATTTGTAACTAAAACGTTATTAAAAGATCACACTTGTAAAGCTTAAACCGTTTGAGTCAGTATTTTGATGTTTTATTTAAAATGAACTCGATTTTTTATAATAAAATAATTTCACTCAATTTTCTTTTTTTTTAACAGGTCTTAGGTAAACACAAAATTCGTTACAAGTGTTTCTTGTGCTTCCCACTTCTGTTTTCTTTGAAATTTCCGGATACGTTTTTCATTCCTTGATATTGGTAGCTTGCTACAAGTCTAATGCTACTGACAACTAATATTAAAATTTGAGTTACATTAAAAATTTGCGAGTGGATCCCGAAAATAAAGTCTAAAAACATTTCCAAGGTAATTTTTCTACATAATCTGTTATTATGGCTAATCCTTTTTTTTTAGGTATACGATCCCTTGTGGAAGTGAACAGATTTTGCAGAAAGAACCAAACACCAAACAAAATGAATTTAGAAATTGGATAAAATTACTATTAGCTACCTACAAATTGCACGCCATGGTTTTTCAATATAAAATTGTTATTACAAAACAAATGAACACTCTACCTTTGTTGCAGTCGTTCTTTTTAGAACGATGATTTTATTAAATTGCGAATCTTATTTTTTATTTTCGTTTGATCCATTTTTCTATAATTTGACTTAATACAAATAAATCATTTGGTTTCAGGTTGACATTGTCGGAAAATAGAAGTTTTGCATGTACACATTGTTCTAAGACATATCCATCTAAAGCTAAATTGCGAAAACATATGTACCGTCATAGAGAAAAAACTATAGAGTGCCCCCAGTGCAGTAAACATTTTATAAGCCAGTGGGAAGTAAAAACTCATATTAACAACGTGCACACACAGGCAAGAGAAATATTGAAGTGTGAGATATGTGATTTCACTTGCACAAATACATGTACTTTAAAATATCACGTGGTTAGTGTGCATACAAAAGATTTTCTGTACAAATGCCAAAGCTGTGACAAGGGTTACATGAGTAGGGGCGCACGTGATACCCATGAAAAGATCCAACATCATGGGGTACGTCACATTTGCCAGCATTGTGGAAAAGTTTTTTTGAACGAACCAACCTTTATAAAACACTGCAAAAGTCACGATCCCGACCACATCAAGAAGGTTTTTACTTGCAAAGTGTGTACTCTGGTGCTTCGTTCGTCTTGTGGCTACCGTCGACATATGAAGCGACACAATGGACCAATGCCAAGTTATATTTGTGATGTCTGTGGAAAAACGGTGAACACGTTACAAAGTTTGAAGTTTCACAAAAAGACGCACACAGGGGAGAAGAATTATTTGTGTGGTACTTGCGGCAAAGATTTTATTAGAAAACAGGCTCTGGTTATGCATACGAGAGTTCATACGAAGGAACGACCGTTTCCATGTTTGATTTGTAGTAAACGATTCACGCAGAAAAGTTCGCTTAATATACACATGAGATATCACACTGGTGAAAGACCTTATGGGTGCGAATTGTGTTCGAAGAAATTTATTACGAAGACTTTGTTAAAAGATCATAAATGTAAAACTTAAGTTAAAACGATGTCACTACTGTACAATTTAGTATCTTTATTTTTAATATGAATTTATGCTGCTGGGTATGGTTATCAAATATCTGCATCATACTTTTTAGTATTGTAAAAATGTATGAATGTATGTATGTTTAATACTCATTTAAATTATAAGCCTATACTTGGACAACACCAAAAAGTATTCCTAATATAGATGATATATTTATTAGATTAATAATCCGTTTGATTTATTTCATTTATTGGAAGAACATTTGTTGAACTGGAACCTCGTTGCGTCTTCAGTTTTATATTTTTTTGGACGAATAAAGTAGAAAATTAAGTAAGTAAGTCACCAGCCGTTAAGCAGTATAAGGGCCGACTGACTGTTACGCTTTAATAATAATAAGCAATTTTTGATGGAGTTCTTATATTTTAATTATAAACTAATTCATGGTAACGAAGCCCAAAATATGGCATGCTATTTTTTAGAATTTGAATTTGTTTTGAGTTTTTTTTCTGAACCGAAAATGAAAATTTAATTTTCTATAATCTGACTTTATACAAATAAATCATTTGGTTTCAGGTTGACAGTGTCGGAAAATAGAGGATTTGAATGTATACGATGTTGTAAGACATTTTCATCTAAACCTAATTTGCGACAACATTTGAAGCGTCATAGGGAAAAAACTTTAAAGTGCCCCCAGTGCAACAAACATTTTATATTTAACAGCGAATTAAAAAGTCATATTAGGAGCTTGCACACAGAGTCAAGAGAAATATTCAAGTGTGAGATATGTGATTTCACTTGCCAAACTAAAAGGACTTTAATAAATCACGTGGCTAGAGTCCATACAAAGAACTTTCTGTACAAATGCCAAAGTTGTGACAAGGGTTACATGAGTAGGGACGCACTTGATTCCCACGAAAAAATTCAACATCAAGGCGAACGTTACATTTGCAAACATTGTGGAAAAGTTTATTTGAACAAACAATGTTTTACAAAACACTGCAACAGTCACGATTCCAACCACATCGAGAAAGTTTTTACTTGCCAAATGTGTTCTGTTGTGTTTCGCTCGTATGCTGGATACTCTCGCCATATGAAGGGACACAATGGTCAGTTGCCAAGTTATGTTTGTGATGTCTGTGGAAAAAGGGTACTCACACCAGCAGGTTTGCGTTATCACAAACAAACGCACACAGGAGAGAGGAATTTTTTGTGTGGTACTTGCGGCAAGGGTTTTATCTATAGACAGGAACTGGATGTTCATACGAGGGTTCATACGAAGGAACGACCATTTCAGTGTTTGATGTGTAGTAAACGATTCACGCAGAAAAGTTCGCTTAATATACACATGAGATATCACACTGGCGACCGACCATATGGGTGCGAGTTGTGTTCGAAGAAATTTATCACTAATACTTTGTTGAAAGATCATAAATGTAAAGCTAAGGGTTAAAACGATTTGACGAGTATACATTTTAGTATCTTTATTTTCGACACGAATATGTGCTGTTGGATATGATTATTATCAAATATCAAATCATCATAGTTTTTAGTATTGTAAGTATAGTCGTTTCCAAAAAATTTCGGGCAAGGTGAACAAATCAGGTTGAACAATGAAAAGCAATGGCAAATGACTTTCATGTCATTGTCAACAGCCCGACGTTTTTTGGAAATGACGGGATTAATACTCATTTTAATTCCATCAAGATCTATAAAAACTAAATTCAGCGTGTTATTAAAAGGTACGTACAAAATAAAATCGGCAATTGGTCTCGACGTATGGGTGCTGAAGGTAAAAAAAATTCAGGTAAATGTGTTCTCCTTTTAGAGCTAAAAATTATTACAATTTATGTTCAAATTCGTTATAATTTTGATAACAAAATAAGTGTTTCAAACTTCTTCGACTTCGCGAAGAACTGTTTTGTTGTACATACCTTTCAATAACACCGTGTATAATGTTATACCTTGGGTAGGATCGTTTCTGATCGTCGAATTGTTTCTAATATAAATAATACTTTTATTAGAATAATAATCGGATGATTTATTTTCAATTATTATTTAAAGAATTTTTTAAATATTTTTGTACCAATAAACTAGGAGAGTAAACAAGTCTAAAAATACTCAGTGGTCTAATATCAAATCTTTTTGTAACGAATGTGATCCAACAGATTTATGACTCCTTCTGTCCCAAAATAAGTGTCCCATTTATGTATTTTGCCTAAGGTAATTTTATCTTTACAAAAGGAGATCCGACAAAATGTTTGTTCCTGCTTATTAAAACAAATGGGAATTGGCTTTCACAAAACCAGAACTGTCAGGCTCAGAATAATTTTTTCTCAATGAATTGAGTCATGGCATATAGTTGTCCATTTCGTCGCGGCTTATATGGCTGCAACATAATTGTTAGCATCTAGTGGTGTTAGGTGCTCCAATAAGTAACTCGCTCGTGTTGAAATTTCGAAATTTATTTATCCGAACTTCTTCTCTGATACTGGTAAAAATAAGCATAACTCAAATTGTTTTAAATGGTTTCAAATTTAATACAATATGCAAGTCTAAAGCTAACTCGAAAATTCGTTACAAGCGCCTCCTTTGTTCCCCGTTTCTGTTTCTTTAAAATTTCTGAGTACCTCCTTTTTTTTCATCCATTGAGAGGCAGCGTACGACAATTCTAATGTTACGGATAACTAACGTGGTTTCACTTCCATTCAGTAATCTTTGACTTTTACCCAGTGAATCCGTTTTAACTGTTGCCAAATAATTGTAGTAGAAATGGACTATAATTGTGCTTATTTGATGTATAATACATGATTGTTTAGAAACTAGGGTTTGACGTTCGCTTGACGTATCACACCTCTGAAAGCCAGTCGGAGTTGTGTTCCAAAATATTTATGACTAAAACACTACCTCTACACGTACTTTTAACTAAATGATTGAAAAAAAAAGTTCCGAGGGTTGTCAATTTCAAGATACCTCCACCACCTACACTTTTTGGAATGGAGTTCTTATGGTGTAGCACCCGATTAGAAATAAGTATTTTATCCCAAGCAAATTGAAGTTCATTAAAATTTATAGATTGCATAACAAGGGTATTAACAGAAACCGTGAAATTTTGATACAAGTGTCGTTACATTGTCTTAGGATCAACTGAAAATAAGTTACATTAGAAAATTGTGAGCTGATGCTGAAAATTAAATTACGTGAATATCAAAAAGCGTTCCAAGGTAAATTTTTTACACAATCTGTTCTTAGGACTAATGCTTTTTTTTAGGTGTACCGTCCTTTGTTGCACGTTGTTTTTCTGATTCCATTCCAATTTGCAGAAATTTTCTACTGAACATGAAAAACATTGTTGTTGTTGATATTATTATTAAATTATGTATCAAAAGTGAAAAGTTTTAACAGAACTGATTGCTGAATTTAAATTAAAAAAACAAATACCAGACAAAATGTATCCAGAAATTGGTCAAAATTAGTGTTATAATGCTTTCCTTAGCTATCGCTAAATTGACTTCCACATCATGATTTTTCATTAAAATTCTTACGAATATTTCGCTTTCTGTGCTAAACAAATGTACACTCTATCTGTGTTGCAGTAGTTTTGTTAGAACGATGTTTTTGTATGAATTTTTGTATTATTTTCATTTGACCCATTTTCTATAATATGACTTTATACACATAAATCGTTTGGTTTCAGGTTGACACTGTCGGAAAATAGAGGATTTGAATGTATACGATGTTCTAAGACATTTTCATCTAAACCTAACTTGCGACAACATTTGAAGCGTCATAGGGAAAAAACTTTAAAGTGCCCCCAGTGCGACAAACATTTTATATTTAACAGCGAATTAAAAAGTCATATTAGCAGCTTGCACACAGAGTCAAGAGAAATATTCAAGTGTGAGATATGTGATTTCACTTGCCAAACTAAAAGGACTTTAATAAATCACGTGGCTAGAGTCCATACAAAAGACTTTCTGTACAAATGCCAAAGCTGTGACAAGGGTTACATGAGTAAGGAGGCACTGGATTCCCATGAAAAGATACAACATCAGGGCGAACGTTACGTTTGTCAACATTGTGGAAAAGTTTATTTGAGTAAACAAAGTTTTACAAAACACTGCAACAGTCACGATTCCAACCACATCGAGAAAGTTTTTACTTGCCAAAAGTGTTCTGTTGTGTATCGCTCTTATTCTGGATACGCTCGACATATGAAGGGACACAAGGGACCATTGCCAAGTTATATTTGTGATATTTGTGGAAAAAGGGTAATCACAGCAGCGGGTTTGAGTTATCACAAAAAAACACACACAGGAGAAAGGAATCATTTGTGTGGTACTTGCGGCAAGGGTTTTATCAAAAGACAGGAGCTGGAAGTTCATGCGAGGGTTCATACGAAAGAACGGCCATTTCAATGTTTGATGTGTAGTAAGCGATTCACACAGAAAAGTTCGCTTAATATACACATGAGATACCACACTGGCGACCGACCATATGGGTGCGAGTTGTGTTCGAAAAAATTTATCACTAATACTTTGTTGAAAGATCATAAATGTAAAGCTAAGGGTTAAAACGATTTGACGAGTTTACATTTTAGTATCTTTATTTTCGACACGAATATGTGCTGTTGGATATGATTATCAAATAGTTTTTAGTATTGTAAGTACAGGCGTTTCCAAAAAATTTCGGACCAGATGAACAAATCAGGTTGATCAGTGAAAAGCAATGTCAATCTGACTTTCATGTCAATGTCAGCAACCCGACGTTTTTTGGAAATGACGAAATATACCTATGATTAATACTCATTTTAATGAACGTCGAATTGTTTTTAATATCAATGATACTTTTATTAGAATAATAATCGGATGATTTATTTTCAATTATTTAATTTTTTTTTTATATTTTTGTATCAATAAACTAGGAAATTAAACAAATCTAAAAATACTCATTGGTCTAACATCAAATTCTTTTGTAACAAATGTGATCCAACAAATTTATTACTCCTTGTGTCCCAAAATAAGTGTCCGATTTATGTATTTTGCTTAAGGTAGTTGTTATGATTACAAAAGAAGATCTGAGAAAATGGTGGTTTTTGCGTATTAAAACAAATGGGAATTGTGTCTGACAAAACCAAAACTGTGAATAATAAGTAATTGTTCACAACAAATTGCGTTTTGCCATATAGTTGTCTATTTCGTCGCAGCTTATATGGCAGCAACATAATTGTCAACATCTAGTAGTGGGGAGATTTATAGTAGTATTAGGTACTCCAATAAATAACTCGCTCGTGTTGAAATTTTGAAATTTATTTCTATGAACTTCTTCTCTGATACTGGTAAAAATAAGCATAATTCAAATTGCTTTAAGTGCAGCGTACATACGACAATTTTAATGTTACGGATAACCAATGTGGGTTCTCTTCCATTCAGTAGTCTTTGACTTTTATCCAGTTGATCCGTTCTGTTGCCATGGAATTGTAGTAGAAATGGACTATAATTGTGCTTATTTGATGTATAATACATGATTGTTCAGAAGCTTGGGCTTCACGTTCGCTTGACGTATCACAGTTCTGAATGCCAGTACGAATTGTGTTCCAAAATATTTATGACTAAAACACTACTTCTACACGTACTTTTAACTAAAAGGTTGAAAAAAAAAAACATAAATTAAGTAGGCCGTGTTCCGATGGTTCTTCATTTCAAACTACCTGCACAATTTACATTTTTTGGAAAGGAGTCCTTATCGTGTAGCACCCTATTAGAAATATTTTATCCGTAGCAAATTGAAATTCATTAAAATGTATAGACTTCTTAACAAGGATATTAACAGAAAACGGATCATCGACTCCTCCGTGAAATTTTGAGGAAAGAGTCCTTACATTGCCTTAGGTTCATGAGAATAAGTTACATTAGAAGATTGCAAGTTGATGCTGAAAATTAAATTATGTGATTATCAAAAAGCTTTCCAAGGTAAATTTTTACAAAATCTGTTGTTATGAATAATGTTTTTTTTTAGGTTTACCGTATGTTGTTTCTCTGATTTCACTGCAATTTGCGAGAATTTCCTACTGGACATTGAAAGCATTCTTGTTGATATCATTATTAAATTATGTATCAAAAATGTTAAAGCTTTAACAAAACTGATTGATGAATTAAATTAAAAAACCAGATAAGTACCAGATGCATCTAGAAATTGGTCAAAATTACTGTAATAATGCTGTCCTTAGCTAACACTAAATTGACTTCCACATCATGGTTTTTCATTAAAAGTCTTATTCGAAATATTCCGCCTTCCGTGTTAAACACATGAACATTCTATCTGTGTTGCAGTAGTTTTGTTAGAACGATGATTTTATATGAATTTTTGTGTTATTTTCATTTGATCCATTTTCTACAATCTGACTTTATACAAATAAATCATTTGGTTTCAGGTTGACAGTGACGAAAAATAGAGGATTTAAATGTACACGATGTTTTAAGACATTTTTATCTAAACATAGCTTGCGACAACATGTGAAGCGTCATAAGGAAAAAACTTTAAAGTGCCCTCAGTGCAGTACATATTTTAGATCGAATTTCGAAGTAAAAATTCATGTTCGCAACATGCACACAGAGTCAAGAGAAATGGTCAAGTGTGAGATATGTGATTTCACTTGCACAAATAAATGTTCTTTAAAATATCACGTGACTAGTGTGCATACAAAGGACTTTCTGTACAAATGCCAAAGTTGTAACAAGGGTTACATGAGTAAGGAGGCACGTGATTCCCACGAAAAAATCCAACATCTGGGCGAACGTTACGTTTGTCAACATTGTGGAAAAGTTTATTCGAACAAACCATGTTTTAGAAAACACTGCAAAAGTCACGATCCCGACCATATCCAGAAAGTTTTTACTTGCCAAGTGTGTTCTGTCGTGTATCGCTCGTATTCTGGATACTCTCGACATATGAAGAGACACAATGGAGAGTTGCCGAGTTATGTGTGTGATATCTGTGGAAAAAGAGTAAACACAGTGGAAAGTTTGAATTATCACAAAAAAACGCACACAGGGGAGAGGGATTATTTGTGTGGTACTTGCGGCAAGGGTTTTATCAAACGCCAGGAGCTGCAGGCTCATACGAGGGTTCATACGAAGGTACGACCATTTCAGTGTTTGATGTGTAGTAAACGATTCACGCAGAAAAGTTCGCTTAATACACACATGAGATATCACACTGGCGACCGACCACATGGGTGCGAGTTGTGTTCGAAGAAATTTGTTACTAATACTTTGTTGAAAGGACATAAATGTAAAACGAAGGGTTAAAACGATTTGACCATTATTTTCGACACGGATATGTGCTGTTGGATATGATTATCAAATATATGCATTATAGTTTTTAGTGTTGTAAGTACAGTCGTTTCCAAAAAATTTCGGGCAAGATGAACAAATCAGGTTGATCAATGAAAAGCAATGGCATAATGACATTTTTTGGAAATGACGAAATGACGGTATGTATGATTAATGGTCATTTTAGTTTGATCAATATCTATTTCTGTACATCGAATTGTATAAATGATATAAATGATGGAGTAATTTTATTAGATTAATATAATCGGTTTGGTTTATTTTAAATTATTTAAAGTTTTTTTTTATATTTTTGTACCAATAAACTAGGAAAATAAATAAGTCTAAAAAACTCAGGATCTAATATCAAGTCTTTTTGTAACAAATGTGATCCAACAAATTTGATTCCTTCTGTCCCAAAATAGGTGTCCGGTTTATGTATTCTGCTTAAGGTCCAAATATGTTGAGTTTTTACGTGTGACTCATCATTGCATTAATATTTTTTATTGATCAAATTAAGAACGAGTCGCGCCATTTACCCGAAAATGTGAAAATACAAACGTCTTTATTTAATAAGAATTATAATAATGATATCAAGAACATTTTGTCGATTGTGGCTTGCTACTTAATAGTTTTGATCCTCTGCTTTGAGGGGCCGAACTCATTCAAATTAAACTAATTTCTACGTGACATTCTTCCGATGTATAGACATAAACACTTTCAAGTTGTTTTTTTTTTATCGGGGATAACCTAAAGACGTACAGTAATGGAGTCCATCAGGCAATTTGGTGTTTTCATATTTTCTCGATATTTCATAACCCCTAGACAAGGCCGTAGCTATGGGGAGGCGAAGGGATTCTGAGCCTCCCCTAGATCTAGATAAGTTAAAATTAGCCAAATGTGAATTACAACATCGAAAATCAAAATAAAATGTAGTGTTTTATTCAATAAGCGGAAGTCAGAGCAATAAAATTGTCTGAACTGTCGCCATTGGGATCCGGTTATTGTAATTCGTAGAAAACATCTTTTAGTTTAGTTTCTGTTTCACTCTCACGTCTACAGGTTGATAAGTGTTTTCTATTATGGAGTTATTATCGTGTAGCACCATATTACAAATATTTTATCCGAAGCAAATTGCAGTTCATTAAAATGTATAGATTTTGTAACAAGGATATTAACCGTCAATGGATTATCTACTCCTCGGTGAAATTTAGGGACAAGTATCCTTATAGGTAAAGCTCGGATATATGCAGTAAATTTAGTCAAAATATGCGCATATATATGCAGCAAATTTTTCACAAATATGCAATGAAATAATGGAAATATGCAAAAGATTATGCAAATTATGTAGAAATAATCATACTAAAAAAATATAATTGTATTTTTTTATTAATATGTCGTACAATAATAATTAAGTTATTGAGAAATAATATTTATTTAATGTTTACAATTAAAATAATACTCCTACTTAAACATACCTATGTATTAATGCATTTACTAAAAATCTGACACATTCCCATTGAAACATACAACTAAACGTTTCTCTAAATTTTCTACAAGAAATGATTGTCTCCTATCACTTAAAATTTGCTTATACGAAGAGAAACTTCTTTCTACATCCACAGAAGTAATAGGAGCATATTTTAGACATGAAATTATGTCCGGCGTCAAATCTAAAACATCGTCACGAAAATAACCAGAAAGTGTTCTATGTACTTTTGAAAGTATTTTAAACCCTTCATTTTTCTCCAACACTTCATTAATTTTTTTATAAACTGCCTTACCAATATTATCCTTAGAGGTCTCTAAAGTTATTTTCAAATTTTCCACTAGACTTATTGACTCATGTAAAGACATACCTCTCTTCTCTAATTTTAGAATAGTGTCCGAAACTAAACTATAGTTACTTTTTATATATTACAATTGCTGAGATACGTTTGGATTGTTTAATATTTGTTTAGATTCCTTGATTGCCGATGATACATCGTCGTCATAAAAAAATATTATTTCTTTTATTTCTTTAAAATATTTAAAATAAAATAAGGCTGCTTCCAACCAAGTACCCCACCTCGTTACAATAGGTTTTGGGGGTAATGGTGTATCAGGTAATTTTTCCTTATACATCTGAACACGTAAGGGTGCTTTGATAAAAACTTTTTTCACATTATTAATTAGATCGTTTATCAAAGGAAATTTATTCCTTATTTCTTCGGCAACTCTGTTAACTCCATGCGCTAAACAAGTACAGTGAATTAGATTCGGATAAAATATTTTTAAATTAGTAGAAGCTTTGACCATATACGTTGCATCATTAATAATACTTTGTCAAAAGGAATCGAATCAGGTAAATATAAATTAGCCAAAGCTTCCTGAATAAATCTACTTATGGTTACATTGTTTGTTTTGTCAAGTTCTTTAACTGCGGCCAAAGATGGCTTATGGAAAGAACCTTCGCATAAACTTCCAACCAATAAATTTGCTATGTACCTTCCGCATACATCTGTGGTTTCATCTACTATAAAATAAATGTATTTGTTCTGAACATGTCGTCGAATTTCATGCATAGAATCTATATAACAATTGTTAACATAATTTTTTCGAAGAGTGCTTTTATCGGGTACAGGTTTTTTGCAATATTTTTCTAAAAAAGACTTGAAGCTTACATTATTCAACTTATTTAAAGGAATGTTGGACGTTAGCAATGCTTTACACAAGTCGGATTTAAAAATTTCGTCTTCACTTTTTTTAAAACTATTTGCTAAACACTTATCCATGGAAGTCTGTGACACACGTGACGTTTTCTGCTGGTCGCACTTTTTTTTGTGTAAAGGGGTACCGCAGTCTTGATCAGTTAGATACTTTCTGCTACTAGATATCTGTAAAATGATACCAAATTCAAAACCAATAAAGACTTAGTTATATTTTAAAATTACTTACCATTTTTCCGCAAGGTTTGCAAAACACTCCATTACCTTCTAATGAAAGTTCTAAATATGGCTTTATCCATAAATGCACTTTGTTTGCCATTTTAAAAAATAAATTAACAAAAATAATGAATAAACTCATAAAACAAACTACTGATATTTTAAAAGATGTGAACAGTTCGTTGGACTGTGAATAAATGTGCATTTCGTTTGAACTTCAGAAGTGACAAGACAAATTGATTCGAAGTGTGGATGATCGTAATAAAATAATTAAAGCTACATCTTGTTTTTCGGTTTCTACCGCTTCTCAAACGTTTACAATAGAGTTTACAACAACCCCAATAAATTAAAACGAGACGCCCGGACGGACATTTGTTAGGCACATTTTGGGTTTTTCGTCACAAAGACGACCTGCTCCGACAATGGTTAAAAATTTCATTGCTAGAAAAATATGAAAGTTTTAAATATTTTTTAAAAATATGCATACATATGCAATTTTCAGCCAAATATGCAAGCAATCTGAAAATATGCAAAATATGCAAAATTTAATTACCGTTAATTAATTTGAAATTACCAAATTCGTTGTTGTGTCAAAGAATTTTCCCAAAAAAACGAAAATTGGAAGATATGCATTTTGCATATAATCCGAGCTTTACTTATAGGTATTATTTTAGGATCAACGGAAAATAAGTTGCTTTAGAAGATTGTGAGTTGATGCTGAAAATTAAATTATGTGAATATCGAAAAGCTCCCCAAGGTAAATTTTTTACATAATCTGTTCTTATGACTAATGTTTTTTTTTAGGTTTACCATCCGTTGTTTTTCTGACTCCATTGAAATTTGCACGAATTTCCTACTGCATTGTTGTTATTATTATATTATGTATCAGAACTGAAATGTTTTAGCAGAACTGATTGCTAAATTTAAATTAAAAAACCAAACACCAGCCAAAATGGATTTAGAAATTCCTCAAAATTACTATTATAATGCTTTCTTTAGCAATCACTAATTTGACTTACACGTCATGATTTTTTATAAAAATTGTTGTTACAAAAATGTTGCTTTACGTGTTAAACAAATGTACCGTCTATTTTTGTTGCAGTAGTTTAGTTAGATCGATGATTTTATATGAATTTTTGTAGTAGTTTCATTTGATCCATTTTCTATAATTTGACTTTATATAAATAAATCCTTTGGTTTCAGGTTGACAGTGTTGGAAAATAGAGGATTTGAATGTACACGATGTTCTAAGACATTTCCAACGAAAGTTCAATTAGGAAAACATATGCGCCGTCATAAGGAAAAAACTGTAAAGTGCCCCCACTGCGATAGACGTTTTATATTCCAATCCGAAGTGAAAAGTCATATTAACATAGTCCACACACAGTCAGGAGAAACCTTCAAGTGCGAGATATGTGATTTCACTTGCAAAACTAGATGTAATTTAAAAACTCATGTCGTTAGTGTTCACACAAAAGATTTTCTGTACAAATGCCAAAGTTGTGACAAGGGTTACATGCGTAAGTCCGAACTCGATAACCACGAAAAAATCCAGCATCAAGGCGTACGTCACGTTTGCCAACATTGTGGAAAAGTTTATTTGAACGAACCATGTTTTATAAAACACTGCAAAAGTCACGATCCCGATCACATCGAGAAAGTTTTTACTTGCCAAATGTGTCCTGTTGTGTATCGCTCGTATTCTGCATATTCTCGACATAAGAAGGGACACAAGGGACCGTTGCCAAGTTATGTTTGTGATGTCTGTGGAAAAAGGGTAAGCACGTTCCAAAGTTTAAAGAATCACAAAAAAGTGCACACAGGGGAGAGGAATTATTTGTGTGGTACTTGCGGCAAAGACTTTATCAGAAAACAGGCGCTGGATGCTCATATGAGAGTTCATACGAAGGAACGACCATTTCAATGTTTGGTTTGTAGTAAACGATTCACGCAGAAAAGTTCGCTTAATATACATATAAGGCATCACACTGGCGAACGACCATATGGGTGCGAGTTGTGTTCGAAGAAATTTTATACTAATACTTTGTTGAAAGATCATAAATGTAAAGCTAAGGGTTAAGACGATTTGACCAGTGTACATTTTGGTATGTTTATTTTCGACACGAATATGTGCTGCTGGATTTGATTATTAAATATATAGGCAACATAGTTTTTAGCGTTGTGAGTATGATTAACAGAGAGCGGATTTCAATCGGGCTAAGTCACGATTGTAGGTGGGGACGCCTGGAACGCCGGGAATTAGAGTTCAACGAGGCAGCGTTCCTCTATTCTAAAATAAACTTGTTTGACTTTCCACGGCCCGACGGACATCCGCGGTCTAAATTCATTAATACTCATTTTTAATTTCATCAAGATCCATGGAAACTAAATATAATGTTATACTTCCTGGACGTCGAATTGTTTCTAATACAAGTGACAGAATTTTTAGATTAATAATCGGTTTGATTTATTTTTAATTATTTAAAGAGTTTTTTTTATATTTTTGTACCAATAAACTACGAAATTAAACAAGTCCAAAAATACTCAGTGGTCTAATATGAAATCTTTCTGTAACAATTGTGATCCAACAAATTTATTACTCCTTCAGTCCTAAAATAAGTGTCCCATTTATGTATTTTGCTTAAGGTAATAGTTGTATCATTACAAAAGAAGTTCTGAGATGCCATATAGTTTTTATGTACAGCTTATGTGGCAGCAAAATAATTTTAAACACCTAGTAATTGGGTTGTTTACAGTATCACTAGGTGCTTCGATAAATAACTTGGTGGTAATGAAATTTTGAAATTTATTTAAATGACCTCCTTTGCCTGATACTGGTAAAAATAAGCATAATTCAAATTATTTTTAACAGTTAACAAATGTAATCCAAAAACTAGTCTATAGTAATAACGAAAATTGGCTTTCTTTGTTTGCCATTTCTATTTCGTTCAAGAATTCCAAGTTTGTCCTGTCACCCCTTGGTACGCAACTTGCGACAAGTCTAATTTTACTCACCACTAATGTGGCTTCTTCTAGTCTTTGACTTACACTCAATAGGTCCGAATTTACTGTTGTCATAGAGCCGCAGAAGAAATGGACTATAATTGCGCTTATTTGTTGTTACTGTTCTCGGTCTAGTGGTTGTGCAAATGCTGTGCAAAAATCTTCCAAAACGCCCAGATGTGCGCATGCGCTGGTTTGTAGCTGTACATGAAATCTCTGGGATGAAGTTGTAATATACATATACGAGGGTAGCGCCAGAAATTCCCGGCCTGGCTATGAAAGAAACGGCGTAGACTTACAATTAAATTTTATTTTTCAATGTAGTCCTCCCTGACATCAATGGACTTATTAGATCGTTTCAGCAACAATTCAATACATTTAAAAAAATATTCTTTCTGCTTGGTCCCAAAATGTGCCGAAACTGCAGATTTCACCTCTTCGTCGTCTCCAAAATGGCATCCTCGAAGGTTTTTTTCAATTTTTTAAACAGGTAATAGTCACTGGAGGTCATATCTTGGCTATAAGGAGGGTGATCGATTTGTTGAAAAGTTCAATCACGAATTGCGTCTTGCGTAATTGCAGCAGAGTGCACGGATGCATTGTTGTGCAGCACACCATCTTTCTAGTGAGTTTTCCACGCCTGGAGTCTCGAATATTTTGGCGTAATTTACGCACAACTGCTACGTAATATGTCGCATTAACTGTGGTGTTGCGTTTTTTAAAATCTGTAAGAAGAATGTCTTCAAAATCCCAAAAGATGGTAGGCATCACCTTTTTTGTCGACTGACAGACTCTGAACTTTCTTGGTGGTGCTTCTCCTTTTCATCTCCATTCCATCGACTCTCTTTTGTACAGAGACTCTTAGTACAGAACCATAGTTTCATGCCCTGTGACATTTGTCTTCGGTGCGTCCACAGGATTTTCTCCACAGAGCTCCAAAAAAGACTGAGCAGATTCAACACGACGCTGGCGCTGAATTGCTGGGAGATATTTAGGAACTCACATTGCATTAATTTTATTCATGCCTAAATGATCATGGACGATTCGGTGAACGGTTGTATCTGAGAGCCTCGACTTTTGTGCTATTTCTTTCACCTTCAAGCGTCGATCATCTAATACGAGATCCTCAACAAGAGCAATATTGTTGTCCGTTAACACTTCCATGGGCCTTCCTGTTCTAGATCATCTTCCAACGATTTCTGACCCATTCGAAACCGTTTTGACCACTCCTTCATCACAGAATATGTCGGTGATTTTTGGCCATACACCTCGTCCAACCGATCTTTAATGTTTTGAGAGGAAATACCTCCTGGAGTGAGTAATTTTATACTCAATTTTCGTGACTTCTGACATCGTGATGAACAAATGTGTGTTACCAAAAAACTATTTGGCGTAAGCTGCATTTTTGTATGTTTCAGACCTAATGAGACTTGAACTGACATATTCCTAAGATTTTGTCCTCCTACTGTACCTGGATCTATGCCAGGCCGGGAATATTTGGCGCTACCCTCGTAGTATTCCCTGATCCGACGAGAAAACGACCACTGATTGCTTGATGTGTAATAATGATTGTGCAGAAACTTGAATGCCAGTGTGAGTTGTGTTCCAAAATATTTATGTCTAGAACGCTACTTCTACACACAGTTTCAACTTGAGGGTTGAAAAAAAAACATACAATTATAGGCCAAATTCTGAGGGTTGTTATCGTGTAGCACCATATTTGAAACGTTTTATCCGAAGCAAATTGATGTGCATTAAAATGTATTCATTTTCTAAGGAAGATATTAACATATTGGATTATCGGTCCCTCTTCAATACATCGACGAAATTGAGAGACAATTGTCTTTATTATTAGTATCGATTGAAAATAAGTTACATTGGAGGATTGTTAGTGGATCCTGAACCTTCTAGGGTAAATTTCTTGCATAATCTGTTCTTATAATTAATGCCTTTGTTTAAGTTTACCGTCCGTTTTTTGTCTGATTTCATTGTAATTTGCATGAATCTTCTATAGGACATTATTTTAGACATTAGAAGAAGTGTTACTATTATCGTTATATTATGTATCAAAAGTAAACATTTTTTTAGCAAACAAAATGGTTTTAGAAATTGATCACAATTACTATTATAACTAGTATTTACCTTAGCTGCCTCTAATATCAACATCATGATTTTTCATTGAAATTGTAATTACAGATATTTTGTTTTACGTGTTAAACGTGTTGAGGACCCGGGTGGGTTAGGTAGCATCGCGCTTGCCTGCCACACCTTGGGTCGTGGGTTCGATTCCCGCCCTGCTCTGGGTGTTGTGTATGTCCCCCGTTACCCTGTAATTGGGCCTCCGGCCTGTTGGGTAACGTTAACCAATAAAAAAAATAAAAATAAAAAATAAAAAAAAAAACGTATCTGCACTCTATCTTTGTTGCAGTAGTTTGTTTAAAACGATGATTTTATGTGATTTTTTGTATAATTTTCTTTTCATTCATTTTCTATAATTTGACTTTATACAAATAAGTCATTTGGTTTCAGGTCGGAAAAGGAAAGTTTTGAATGTTCACGATGTTCTAAGACATTTCCATCTAAACTTCAAATGCAAAAACATATGCCCCGTCATAAGGAACAAACTTTAAAGTGTCCACACTGCAATAGACATTTTATATTCCAGTCCGAAGTGAAAAGGCATATGAGCGAAGTCCACGCACAGTCGGCAGAAACATTCAAGTGTGAAATATGTGATTTCACTTGCAAAACTAAAAGGACTTTAAAAAATCACGGGGCTAGAGTCCATACAAAGGACTTTCTGTACAAATGCCAAAGTTGTGACAAAGGTTACATGAGTAGGGACGCCCTTGATACCCACGAAAAAATCCAACATCAAGGCGTACGTCACGTTTGCCAACATTGTGGAAAAGTTTTTTTGACCGAAACATGTTTTACAAAACACTGTAAAAGTCACGATCCCGACCACATAAAGGAAGTTTTTACTTGCCAAGTATGTCTTGCTGTATTGCGCTCGTATTCTGGATACTCTCGACATATGAAGAGACACAATGGACAGTTGCCGAGTTATGTGTGTGATATCTGTGGAAAAAGAGTAAACACAGCGGAAAGTTTGAATTATCACAAAAAAACGCACATAGGGGAGAAGAATTATTTATGTGGTAATTGCGGCAAGGGTTTTATCACAAAACAGACGCTGATCGAACATACCAGAGTCCACACGAAAGAACGACCGTTTCCATGTTTGGTTTGTAGTAAACGATTTACGCAGAAAAGTTCGCTTAATGTACACATGAGACGCCACACTGGCGAAAGACCATATGGGTGCGAATTGTGTTCGAAGAAATTTGTTACTAATACTTTGTTGAAAGGACATAAATGTACTCGTAAAGCTTATGGTTAAAACAACGTGACCAGTGTACGTTTTAGTATATTCATTTTCGAAATGACCATATGCTGCCGGACATATACTTTTTAATTTTGTAATAAGTAGTTTTTTAAGTGGATTAGTTACAGTAATATTCAACATTAAAAATTGTTTAAGTCATTGATTTACAACAATTTGACATTTTTGCTTTAGTTTTTGTGGTATTTTTATCAAAAGTTTCGGAAAGAATTTTTTTTCTAAATGTTTTACTGGTGGTTTCCAGTAAAGAGAAAATTAGTACTGAAGACTTGTGATGGTAAGTTGTTCGCCTTACGTGTTTGTTATTATCGAATGACTTTCTTTTACCATGTGCAGTTTTTAGGATAAAATTATAAAACGCAACTAAATAAATGTAATTTATTGGTCACACGAATTTTTGCCTATAAAGTTGGCAAAAAAAAAAAATAGTACAAAATACACTAGTGACGAATGCAATACACGTTAATAAGTAGTGTTAACACGTGTTTATGTGACAGCAAATAATTTTTATGTGATGGTTTTGTTTTTGTTGTTTCTATCTTTTTTTGTCTTCATATGCTTTCTAATCGGACTTTATAATAATTATAATTATAATTAATTTCAGGTTTACCACTCCAGATGGCACTGGAATTCTCAGTTGCTCACGTTGCCAGAAGACGTTCTCGTGCGCATTTAAACTGCGCAAACACATGTATTTGCACAATAAGACAGTTAAATGTCTTTACTGCGAAAAATATTTCTCACAAAAGTACATGATGATGACTCACGTTAACAATGTGCACGTCACAGTAAGAGAAACATTTAAGTGTGAGATTTGCGACTACACGTCTAAATATAAATTATCAGTGAAAACACATACAATCAGAAAGCACACAAAAGACTTTGCCTACAAATGCGAAACTTGTGGCAAAAAATACCCAACGAAAAGTCAACTTGAAATTCATGAGAAAATCAATCACCAAGGTCTATGCCATGTTTGTAAAACTTGCGGGAAAGTTTTTAAGAGCGAAGGTTTTTTCAAAAAGCATTGCAAAGCCCATGATCCTGATTACATCAAGGAGGTTTTTACCTGCGAAATCTGCTCCACTGTGTTACGTAAAGCAGAAGCATATAGGAACCACATGCAGAGACATAGTGGACAAGCGATTAATTATGTTTGTGATATATGTGGAAAAGTTATAACTTCTTTACAAGGTTTGAAGAAGCACAAGAGGATACATACGGGGGAGAAAAATTTTCTGTGTGTAACATGTGGGAAAGATTTTGTTACAAATCAGTCCCTCATTATGCACACGAGGGTCCATACGAAGGAACGACCCTTTCAATGCCTAATTTGTACAAAACGATTCACTCAGAAATCTTCTCTTAATATTCACATGCGGTACCATACTGGGGAGAGGCCATTCGAATGTACTTTGTGTTCCAAGAAATTTGTAACTAAAACGTTATTAAAAGATCACAGTTGTAAAGCTTAGACCAAAGAATTAATATCTTCGTGTTTTGTTTAATAATAGCTCGATTTTTATAATAAAATAATTGAACTCATTTTTCTGCATATATTTCTTTAACCCAATCAGAATTTTCAATTGTTGTGAAGTATTGTTTAGCTATTAGTTTGTGATTTTGTGTATTATTATTAATACATCGGTGCGGTTTGCATTTGCATTTCGAAAATAAGTTAATACTATAAGTTTGTGACTGGATCCTGAATATTAAATTTTGTCAGGATCAAACGGCTTTTCAAGGTAAATTTTTGACGTACTATGTTCTTACGACTAATGTTTTTTTTTCAGATTTAACACCCGTTATTTGTCTTAGTTGTCCATGAACTCTAAGCCTATTTAGACGTTTTTAGTCATATTATGTGTAATAGTTGATGAAACTTTGTATAAATTATAAATTTTATTGTGTAATACAAGAAATGAAATGAAAATATTTTGCAAAAGTCATTGTAAAATTTGAATGAAAGAACCGTTAGCTGCGAAAACCAGACAAAATGAGTTTAGAAATTGGTCCAAATCACTGTTATAGTATACTGTTTCCAGCGATAGATTGGAAAATTTTGAATTCACAATTGCCAACCGGAGAATCTAAAATATGCTAACATTCTACGGTTAAAGCAGTTGGAGAGTTGTAGTTGAAGTTGGCAACCAACATTCTTTTTCCCGCGCAACGAATTTCCTACACCTCTATGCCTATGCCAATCGGCCGATTTCGTTTAACCTGTGTTTGGAGGATCAGCTGATTGACGTTGATTTAAAATTTTGATTCAAAGAGTTAAAAAGTGTGTTTTTTGCGTTTGGTGTTTGTGTTTTTAGTGTTTGTGTTTTTTTTTTACTTGTTTTGATTTGTTAGGTATGATGTTATAGACCTTTGTGCTGTTTTTTTGTATAGTGGCTGAAGTTTGGACATTTTGGGTTAAGTTTTTATATGGACCCCATAGAAAACATTACGAATAAAATTCATAATTACGCAAGAGTGAGTTCTGTTATAATAAGCTCGATTTTTAGAATAAAATTGGTTAAGAATTTCCCATTTTTGTGAAGAATTGTTTAGAAAATTAGTTTGCGGTTTTATATATTATTGTTAATACGTAGCTGAAGTTTAGAGTCACGTACTATTATTGTATAAGATTCATCAGGGGTTAGTAATCACAGGGCCTGCAGCTTTTTCTATGCGTATCGAAAATGAGTTGCATTAGAAGTTTGTGAGTGGATTTTCAAAATTAAATTTTGTCAGTATCAAAAAGCTTTCCAAGGTAAATTTTTAACATATTCTGCTTTTGTGACTAATATAACTAATGTTTTTCTTTTCAGGTTTACCAACAGATGTATCTCTGGTTTTATTGTAGTTATCTATTGTCTGGGTTTATTGACGGTGATATTGAATTTGCAGCCAATTTTGACGTTTTTGGCTATACTATACAGATGTATAATATTTTATGAAATATTATGCCATGAATTTTAATTTGTATCATAAAAATATCATTAATTTTCAACAAAAAGTTCATTTAAGAAACATATCAAAATTGAAAAGTTTTTCGCAACTAGTTGTTGAATTTAAATGAAAATGATAAAATGAATTTAGGAGTTGGTCCAAATGTGATAACAGTACTTCCTGTGGCTCTTCCTAAATTAACATTCACATCATGAGTTTTCACTCGATTTAAAATCTACGTTGCATGTCTGCTGGAGTATTATTTTAGAACTTTGATTTTTTACAAATTTTCGCATTATTTTTATTAGATTCATATTCTTTAGTTTGACATTATTCAAATACATAAATCATTTGGTTTCAGGTTGACAGTATCGGAAACTAGAAGCTTTCAATGTACACACTGTTTTAAGACATTTCCATCTGAAGCTAAATTGCGAAAACATATGTACCGTCATAAGGAAAAAACTTTAAAGTGCCCCCAGTGCAATAGACGTTTTATATACGACTACGAAGTGAAAAGTCATGTTAGCAACGTGCACACACAATCAAGAGAAACATTCCAGTGTGAAATATGTGATTTCACTAGCAAATCTGAAATATCGTTAAAAACTCACATGGTTAGGTTGCATACAAAGGACTTTCTATACAAATGCCAAACTTGTGACAAAGGTTACACGCGTAAGTCTGAACTCGAATCCCACGAAAAAATCCAGCATCAAGGCGTGCGTCACGTTTGCCAACATTGTGGAAAAGGTTTTTTGACTGAACGAGCTTTTACAAAACACTGCAAAAGTCACGATCCCGACCACATCGAGAAAGTTTTTACTTGCCATCTTTGTTCCGTTGTGTTTCGCTCATATACTAGTCACAATCGACATATGAAGAGACACAACGGACAGTTGCCAGGTTATGTTTGTGATATCTGTGGAAAAAGGATAACCACGTTACAAAGTTTGAAGTTTCACAAGAAAACGCACACAGGGGAGAAGAATTATTTGTGTGGTACTTGCGGCAAAGTTTTTATCAGGAAACAGGCGCTGGTTACTCATACGAGAGTTCATACGAAAGAACGGCCATTTCAGTGTTTGGTTTGTAGTAAAAGATTCACACAGAAAAGTTCGCTTAATATACACATGAGGTATCACACTGGTGAAAGACCGTATGGGTGCGAATTCTGTTCGAAGAAATTTGTTACCAATACATTGTTAAAAGATCATAAATGTAAAGCTAACGGTTAAAACGATTTGACCAGTGTAGATTTTTTTAGTATATTTATTTTCGAAATGAGCATGTGTTTTTGAATGCTTTTTTTACATATATACTTTTTAATATTGTAAACAATTTGTTTAAGTGGATTAGTTAATGATATTCAACAACAAAAATTGTGTATCGGTTATGTTTAAGTCAGTGAGTTAGGATATTTAATTTGACATTTTTATTTGGTTTTTGCGGTATTTTTATCAAAACTCCGAGAAAATGAAACAACAGTTGTCAATTTGGACACGTTGCCTCATTTCGGCTTGAGTTTTTTATTTTATGGACGAATAAAGTGGGAAATGAAACAAGTGTAACAATAATCAATGTTTTAATTTCCAATGCCTTTCTAACAAATTCGATCCAACAAATTTATAATCGTTGTTCGATTGTATCGTATTTAACATAGCATTATTTAATTTGTAATTTTTTTCTTTACCTTGACAGTTTAATTTTCTTTGTTGTTATTAATAGTTTAAAATTTTCTTCATTGATTGGTTTTTATTCGATTTTCGTGGCATCTACCTCACCTCACCTCACCTCACCTGACCTGACCGAGGGTTTTTGAGATCATATTGGTAACTACACCAATATGTGCTTTAAATTTCTATTTTTTTTTCAGTGTTTTCAATTCACTTTTATTAAATACAACAATTACGTGCATTAGTTTATTGTATCTAGCATTCCATGTAAAATCTTATGTACAAAATTATTGCTACAAAAGTAAATACAACAAATAAATTGTTCTCAGCGAACAGTTCTTGATATCTGTTTTAGCGTTATTGTGATACTCGTAAACAGTAATGGGAAAAATAACTAGATTCAAAATTTACCGAGTAGGTTTTGGTGTTTATATACCCCAACTCGAGCAGAAGAATCACTGCGTAATTGACTTGTGTTCAATGCAGTGATTTTTGTCATAATGAATTAACAAGGATGTTCTAATTGTAATAAATAAATGTGGTTTATGTATTTAATACACCTTAGGTGGAGCACAGAAATTCATTAAAGCTAGGCTGATTGAGCTCTGAGCCCTCCATTTGTCTCCTAATTCGAACTTCGCAATAATTGTCTTAGAATCATCATTTGGTTCATAATTACAGCACCCTCAGCGGTTATTTCCTTGCATTTCGAAAATAAGTTAACACTCTAAGTTTGTGACTGGATCCTGAATATTAAATTTTCTCAGGATCAAACGGCTTTTCAAGGTAAATTTTTGACGTACTCTGTTTTTATGACTAATGTTTTTTTTTCAGGTTTAAAACACCCGTTATTTGTCTCAGTTGTGTATTATACATATATGACATGAACTTTAAGCCTATTTAGACGTTTCTAGCCATATTATGTGTAATACTTTATGAAACTTTGTATAAATTATAAATTTTATTGTGTAATACAAAAAATGTTTTTCATTTTCAACAGAACTGAAAAGACTTGACAAAACTCATTGTAAAATTTAAATGAAAGAACCGTTAGCTGGGAAAGACCAGACAAAATGAGTTTAGAGATTGGTCCAAATCATTGTAATAGTACTTCTTTAGCTGTCGCTAAATTGACTTCCACGTCATATTTTTTCGCTGCCACGTTTTTTTACAGGAATTATTTTTATAAATATTATTTTTGTATTGTTTTCGTTCGATTCATATTCTCTAATTTGACTTAATACAATAAATTATTTGGTTTCAGGTTGACAGTATCGGAAAATAGAAGTTTTGAATGTGTTCGATGTACTAAGACATTTCCATCGAAAGTTCAAATGCAAAAACATATGCGTCGTCATAAGGAAAAAAAATTAAAGTGCCCCCAGTGCAACAGTCATTTTATATACCAGTCCGAAATGAAAAGTCATGTTAGGAACAAGCACACACAGTCAGGTGATACATTTAAGTGTGAGATTTGCGATTATACGTCCAACAATAAATCTTCAATGAAAAGTCATACAATCAGAAAACACACAAAGGACTTTGCTCACAAATGCGAAACTTGTGGGAAAAAATACCCGAAAAAAAGTGAACTTGAAATTCATGAGAAAAGCAATCACCAAGGCCTATGCCATGTTTGTAAAATTTGCGGAAAGGTTTTTAAGAGTGAGGGTGCTTTCAGACAGCATTGCAAATCCCATGATCCTGATTACGTCAGGCAGGTTTTTACTTGCGAAATTTGCTCCACTGTTTTACGTAGAGTAAGCACATATAAAGACCACATGCAGAGACATAGAGGAGAAGCCATTAACTATGTTTGCGATATATGTGGGAAAGTTATAACTACTTCACATGGTTTGGAGAAACACAGGAAGACACATACAGGGGAGAAAAAATTTCTGTGTGTAACATGTGGGAAAGATTTTGCTACAAGTCAGTCTTTGATTGTGCACACCAGGGTCCACACGAAGGAGCGACCGTTTCAGTGCCTGATTTGTACTAAACGATTCACTCAGAAATCTTCGCTTAATATCCACATGCGATATCATACTGGGGAGAGACCATTCGAATGTACTTTGTGTTCCAAGAAGTTTGTAACTAAAACGTTATTAAAAGATCACAATTGTAGAGCTTAGACCATAATTAATATTTTGAAATTTTGATTAAAATGAACTCGATTTTTAGAATAAAATAAGTTAAGACAATTTCCTGCATATATTTTTTAACGCAGTTAGAATTTCCAAATGTTGTGAAGTATTGTGATGTACTATCATTGTCTTAGAATCATCACTGGTTCCTTGGTTAGTAGTCATAGGGCCTGCATTAGAAGTTTGTGAGTGGAGGCTTTCTAAGGTAAATTTTAACATACTCTATTTTTGTGTTTCTTTTCAGATTTACCAACAGTTATTTGTCTGGTTTCATTGCAGTTGACTAATGTCTGGGTTTATTGACGGTGATATTGAATTTGAAGCCAATTTTGACGTTTTTGGCTATAATATAGATATGTACAATATTTTATGAAATATTATAAACCATGAATTTTAATTTGTGTCATAAAAATATCATTAATTTTCAACAAAAAGTTCATTTAAGAAACATATCAAAATTGAAAAGTGTTTCGCAACTAGTTGTTGAATTTAAATGAAAACCGTTGGCTGGGCAAAACCAGATAAAATGAATTTAGGAGTTGGTCCAAATGTGAGAACAGTACTTCCTGTGGCTCTTCCTAAAGTAACATCCACATCATGATTTTTCACTCGATTAAAAATCTACGCTGCATGTCTGCTGGAGTATTATTTTAGAACTCAGATTTTTACAAATTTTTGAATTATTTTTATTCGGTTCATATTCTTTATTTTGACACTATACAAATAAATTATTTGGTTTCAGGTTGACAGTATCGGAAATTAGAAGCTTTCAGTGTACGCACTGTTATAAGACATTTTCATCTGAAGCTAAAATGCGAAAACATATGTACCGTCATAAGGAAAAAACTTTAAAGTGCCCCCAGTGCAATAGATTTTTTATATACGACTACGAAGTGAAAAGTCATGTTAACAACATCCACACACAGTCAAGAGAAACATTAAAGTGTGAGATGTGTGATTTCACCAGCAAATTTGAAATATCGTTAAAAACTCACATGGTTAGGGTGCATACAAAGGACTTTCGATACAAATGCCAAACTTGTGACAAAGGTTACACGCGCAAGTCCGAACTCGAATCCCACGAAAAAATCCAGCATCAAGGGGTACGTCACGTTTGCCAACATTGTGGAAAAGCTTTTTCGAATGAAAGAGCTTTTATAAACCACTGCAAAAGTCACGATCCCGACCACATCGAGAAAGTTTTTACTTGCCAAGAGTGTTCTCTTGTGTTTCGCTCGTATACTAGTCACGCTCGACATATGAAGAGACACAACGGACAATTGCCAGGTTATGTTTGTGATATCTGTGGAAAAAGGATAACCACGTTACAAAGTCTGAAGTTTCACAAGAAAACCCACACAGGGGAGAAGAATTATTTGTGTGGTACTTGTGGCAAGGATTTTGTCAAAAAACAGACGCTGATTGTTCATACGAGAGTCCACACGAAGGAAAGACCATTTCAGTGTTTGATGTGTAATAAACGATTTACGCAACAGAGTTCGCTTACTATACACATGAGATACCACACTGGGGAAAGACCATACGGATGCGAGGTGTGTTCGAAGAAATTTCTTACCAAGACTTTGTTAAAAGATCATAAATGTAAAGCTAACGGTTAAAACAATTTGACCAATGTACATTTTAGTATCTTTATTTTCGACATCAGCTTAAATATCTTGTTGGATATCCGTATCTAATACACAAAATATTTTTTTATATTATACGTAGTTTTTTTTAACGAATTAGTCACAATGATATTCACAAATAAAAATTACATTTATGTGAGTGATTTAAAATAATTTGATATTTTTAGTTCTGTTTTTGTAGTATTCTCATCAACAGTTTCAAAAAATGGGCCATATTCTGGCGTTCTATTTATTAAATTAAAATAAGTTTGATTTATTTTCAGTTGTTTAAATAACCCTTTGAATCCTTTGTCTCCTTGCTGGTTTTTATTTGTCGCACGAATAAGTCATGAAATGTTTTAATTTGACTTAACTGTAATTTCACCCTTCGAAACAGATTTTCCCTATAAGTGTGCAATCCAGTACTACATCCGTGTTTTTTTTTATAGGATTTAAAGTATAAAAGTTAGTTGTCTTGATTTAAAGTTCTTCATGCCATAATTTTTCTATTTTTCCAAAAAAAAGCCAGATTGACAGTACCATAAGGCAAACGGACCATCGAAATTAGATAAAGCTAGTAAGATTTTTTTTGTTTTTTGTCTTATCTCCCATGTCTTTTTTAGGCCAGTTTGGCACCCACAGAACCCGGGCACCAAATTTGGTACTTATTTTTCTAGCAGAAATTCTTGGTTAGGAGTTAAGTTGTCTCGCTGTAATCAGGTACTGGGTAATGAGTGATGCACATAGTTATTTAGTACTCTTAGTAAATTCTGAATCAAGAACTTAACAATTTTCAAATTTACTATAATATATATAGGATGTTCAAAAAATGGTGCACTAACTCAACGGTATATTATTTAGTTCACAAATCTAAGTTCGAGGAAAATCATAAAAAACAATATTTGTATCCACTTTCAAAAACAAAAAATCGATATAGAGAGATGTCTTTACGTCATGGGTGATTTTTTCGGTGCTTTCGTTATTTAATCGTTGCGCTTTTACGTTATAACTTTATATATATTTTATGCAAAATAATAATAAAAGTCTTAAGTGGTTTCACAAACTTAATAGATAAAGAGATTATTCGCCGAAAATCTCTTTTTTAATCCGTAGATAAGTACTATTTGATAACATTTTTTTACGATTGTAGCGTTAAATTACAATTACAAAGTATATTAGTAGTTTATTGTATTTATAAATAATGATTTTCTGTGATTTAGATCTGTCCTTTTTTAGAGATACCTCTGGATGGTGAAGAGCTACAATCTTCATACTTTAAAGAAAAACGCAATTGTAGTTTTTTTTATATAACAATAGTCACTGAATTCTTTTCATTGCATATATTATTATTCAGAAGTCACTTATACTTTTTTCTCCATAGTTATAGTTCTACTGTTTTCACCGTATTCAATAAATACATTGATTTCAGGGTTACCGGTCTGGAATATGCAGGCCCCTTCAGTTGCCCAATCTGCTCTAAATCGTTCGAATATCGATACCGCTTAAGCAGACACATAACTCGTCACAACGAAAGAAAAGTAAAATGTCTTCACTGCGACAGATATTTCCTAAATAACTACGAAATGGGTCTTCACGTTGAGAATGTGCACACTAGCACACGAGACAGGTACAAGTGCACACTTTGTGATTATGCCGCGAAATTTGTTGGCTCAATCAAAAGACATATAGTGATAGCGCACACGAGAAACTTTGCTTACAAGTGCGAAACATGTGGGAAAGGATACTCCATGAAGCAGGAACTAGAGATTCATAAAAAAACCAGTCACCAGCATGTTCGCTATGAGTGCAAGAACTGTGGAAAAGTGTTCAAGAGTGAAGCTTATCTGAGAATACATAGCAGGAGTCATGACCCCAATCATGTAGAGGAAGTGTTCACTTGTGAAGTTTGCTCCTCTGTGTTGCGTTCTCTTGGTGGGTACAAGAGACATATGAAGCGACACAATGGAGAGTTGGCGAGCTACGTTTGTGATATATGTGGGAAAAGTATAACCACGCTAGAGGGTTTCAAGGAACATAAGAAAAGACACTCAGGGGAAAGGAATCATCTGTGTGTGACGTGTGGGAAGAATTTTATTAACAGGCAGGCTTTGATTATACACACTCGGGTTCATACGAAGGAACGGCCTTTTAAGTGTCTGATTTGTAGTAAACGGTTCACGCAGAAAACTTCACTTAATATTCACATGAAGTATCACACTGGTGAAAGACCTTTTGAGTGTGCGTCGTGTTCGAAGAAATTTGTAACGAAAACTTTGCTAAAATATCACAAATGTAGTGGTTAAGGTTACTTTAACGGAAAACCATCTAATTCCTTTGTCTAATGTGGGGTTTGAACCGGTGGTTGAAATACTTAGATGTATCCGTTTTGACTTACTTGTCTGGGGGTTGTTTTTTACTTAATTATTTGTTGAAAAAGATAACTTCTTTTTCTTAAGTTACTGCGAAAGTAGACAATTTTAAGTACAAGACTTTAATAAAACTTTAATAAAAAGTGTGTAATACAACAGATAAATTCAATTTATATAATATATACATTGACATTTTTGTATTTTGGGAGAGTAATAAAAACACAAAATGTTCGTCTTGTCAAATTACCGTCAATTTGAAAGTTCGAGTCGAAAATCAACACGATCAACCAACAATCTTTCAAAAATCGATGGCTGTCTTTGATCGTGTTTTTTATTTCTCTCGGGGTGTACATTAGACGTTAATGTATGGACACAAAAACTTTGTTGTACCATAAAGAATTTTATTGTGATAAATTTGGGTTCAAGCACACGTAGCAGCCTACAACCTAATACAAAACGTATAAATATGTATTTCCAGATCTTGAGAGTCAAGAATAACTGGATTTTGATTTTCGTAGAAGTAATAAAATGATGCGCTACAAAACTGAATGACTATGTCATTTTTACGTTTATATTTTAATCGTTAGAACTTTTTAAAGTATAGTCTAAGGTCCATAACGTACTAATGTTTTTGATTTTGAACAACGAAACAATAAATTAAGTCTCACATAATACATGTTGTGTATGTTGTATTTTTAAAATGTCCAACGAACGCACAATAAATGAACTTCCCTTAGAAAAACAAACATTTTGATTCGGTTATCAATCCTAGCATTATACTGTGTCACAGAAATACGAATGAACACAATTACCGACTTGAAGTGTAGATTTCGAGTGATTTTTTCGAAGGTAAGTCTGTAATTTTTGAAATTTATTGTACTAATATTCTTTTTTTAGATTTTGAAAAAAAATTGTCTCAGCATGTTTTTAACGGAACCTGTGACAAGTTTTGTGTTGTTTCTTTTCTAGTTTTATAAAAGTATTTTTTTAAAGTCACCATTACGTAGTTTATGTTTTGTATATCCAAAAAACTGATTTCAGGTTAACCACTCTGGAAAATCTAGACTCATGTAGTTGCCCAATTGGCTCTAAACGTTTAATCTCAAGATATTATATGTACAAATATTTGTATTAAGTGAAAAAGGAAGAATAGTAATCTAATCCATTGGGCGACTTGTCAGTTTCATGTTTTCTGAACGTTTCATACATTTTACACGTATATTAAGAATATCATGTAGATGGTAAAACGCTAACCAAAATTTGGCTAATCACCCGCACCAACAAAACAATTTGATGAAGTCCGTCCATTACATGGTATAATTAACATTACCGATTTTGTATGAAATAATGTACGTCTGTACTTGTGGTTTATGAATCTTATCTTGACTTTGTTTATTATTACTATATTTGTTTATTGTTTAATCCGTCTTGTTCTTTACCAACATAGTAGGCCCCTAAGAATCCAGATCCGTCCTTGGGCATCCCTTTGGAATTTGCGCCCCCACGATAGAGATTATCACAAAACAAACATCGTATAATCTAGCCTTAAAATTTTTCAAACAAGCTGGATTTGTAGGGATTATACTTCGACCAAATTTTTTGAGTGTTTTAAAAATTGTTTAGTAACTTTTGTGAGGTTAGTATCATCAAAAATGTGTATTATTCAAAATATACGTCAACTATTTGTAATTAGTAACTACCTATCTAAATAGATACATTAATAATATATGTTATCCGTTGTGGTTGTAGTGGTAGCATCGTGTGTAGTTTGAAACTAACAAATGTCCCGAAAATGTATCCTTTTTTGATCTAATTTAACAAATAAACTGGTTTCAGGTGTACCACTACGGAAACTGCAGGCTCGTACTGTTGTCCCATCTGCTCTAAGACGTTTTCGTATTACGACGTCATGCGCAGACACACATATCGCCATAAAGAAAAAAAAGTAAAATGTCTTCATTGTGACAAATATTTCTTAAGTAACTACGAAATGCGAAGTCACGTTGCCAACATTCATACAACAACGAAAAACAGATACAAATGTCAGTTCTGCGATTACACTTCTAACTTCAGCATGTCGATGAAAAGACACACAATCGTAGAACACACCAGAGATTTCGCTTACAAATGTGACACCTGCAGTAAAGGTTTCCTAAAGAAACACGAACTCGAAAAGCATCAAAACTCCATCCATCGATTTGTGCGCTACATTTGCAATCAGTGTGGAAAAGCTTTTAAGAGTGAAGCTTATCTTAAAATACACGGCAAGATCCATAATCCGGAGCATCTTCAAAAAGCTTTTAGCTGCGAAATCTGTTCCACGGTGTTACGTACAGCTAATGGGTTTAAAAAACACATGAAGCGACACAATGGACTGTCGAGTTATGTTTGTGATGTATGTGGGAAGAATTTCTGTACGCCGGAGGGTTTTAAGAATCATATGAGGAGACACGCGGGGGAAAGGAATTATTTGTGTGTGACGTGTGGCAAGAATTTTATTACTAAACAGTCGCTGGTTATTCATACGAGGGTACACACGAAGGAGCGACCGTTTAAGTGTCCGACTTGTAATAAAAGGTTCACGCAGAAACCTTCTCTTAATGTTCACATGAGGTACCACACTGGCGAAAGACCATTCCAGTGCGACTTGTGTTCGAAAAAGTTTGTAACTAGAACGTTGCTAAAAGCTCACAAATGCCATTTGTAATAAATGTTTTTAGTTCAGAAGATTTTGTGAATTTTTTGGGGTACTAAATACTTTTAGGCTTTTTAGGTGTATTTTTAGTTGTAGAAATGGACTGTCGGCCTACCAGTGTTGAATTGAAAAATATACTTTTTAAAACACAGTGAATCACAGTTTGTTGTTCCTTCAAATTTAGCAGAAAATAGCATTCCTCCACAGTTGTGGACGGAAATTTGTTTGCTTTTGTTTATGTTTTTAATTTGTTTGTGTGATAAATTACCTTAAGGTTTGGTTATATCGCAAAAGTTATATTTGTGAAATTTCTTGGACTGATATCTTTGCAAAAGTTCAATTGCTGTGTCATTAATTTCTGAAAAAAAAATCTGAGACATTGTGAAATGGTTTCAACAGTGGCACAAATTAATATGTATTAAAATATGGATGTATGTTTTGAATACTACTTTCTTGATATTTTATAGACGTTTTTAAAATGAAGCTTATTAAAATTCTATTACAAAGTCAAAACTGACCTGACTATATTTTTAGTAATTTTGAATACCTGGCATGTGTTCTCATTTAGAGGAAAATGAAGCTTCTGTTGATCAGAAAATGAGATATGTCATTGTTTTGTTGAGTTGACTGTGAATTCTTCAAAGTCTGATTTGTTCTAATATTTTTACTTCCCGAGCGTAAGCCATGGTTTTATAATGAACCCTATTAGATCCCGAGTATCAAAAAGTAGGTCTCCCGTTTTCATCTGTCTCGTCTGTCGTCTGTCTGGTGTCTGTCTGGATTTTTTTTTTTATGTGTTTTAGGAATATCGAAAAACGCTGATCCAAATTTGTCTAGTCATCCCCACTAATAATTTTATTAAGTCACCTCAAATTTTACATGGTAAATGCCATATAATTGCATAAAATAATATACTTGTATATTTGTGGTTTATGAATCTGCCTTGATTTTCTACTCTAGGCATTAATTACTTTGCTTAGAATGTGCAGGTGTTGCGATATTTTCATATGTACTTCGTTCTTGTTTTGTTTTAAATTTTCTTATATGTGCTTAGGGTCGTATCACCCCAAAATATGAAAAAATAGGTTAACCGTTTTCATATGTCTGTCGTCTGTCCGTGGTCTGATGGCGATTTTATTACATAGATAATTTTCGAAACTACTACAAATTTTTCTAATCAATCCCACCAACAATTTAATGACGTCATCTCAAATTTGTTTACAAGTGCTATTTAAAGTTCATAAAAAAATATTCTTCTAAATTTGTGGTTCATGAGCCCGCCTTGATGTTTTACCTTAAACATTTAATTCTCAATTATTAAAAATTTTAAAATTTAACTTGGAAAGTTATAAGTTTATCGTAAACATGATCAATCGGTAGTTAAAATTTGTTATTTATTTCTTCGAAGAACTTATCAAAAACGTGCAAAGTCTTATGAATATATATGTGCGGTTTGTCAGTGCATTCATATCTTTTTTACATTTACTTACACAGAATGTCTCCAAAATGAATAAATGAAGCAATTTATTTTATTGATTGATTCAAAAACGACTTACCCCAATTTCCCAAAAATTTGGGAATACGGTACTGTTATTATTACTTAGTATTATATCGTAACTTTCCAAAATGATATATTTTTTTGGTAAAAAGTTGTGACGTCCTCATAAAATTTTGAAAAACTCACTTGGAACATATTTTGCGTCCACACAATTATAGGATTATTATAAAAAAAAACCCTAAAATCAAATTTTATAACATTTCCCGAAAGAAGCTGGATTTTTTCACTGCATGTACTTCAGTGAGACCTTTTTCCATCATCTATAACTTTTTTTTAAGAATTCAATATTTACACTGTGTTCACGCGTTTTGTTGTTTTTTTTTTTATTTTCTTTAATACCTCATCTACTTGTTTATAATTAGGGTTGTGAATATCTGGTGTCCACTCTACAGTGCATCACCGATTTTTTTTTTGGATCTATACGCGTAGACAAAATATTTTTGATTTTTTTTTTTATTTCTCAATCATATTCTGTTTACTATTAATATATTTTTAATGTCAAGGTTTATGTCTTCTTCTGAGATTGTAAAATTCGTTATTTTGTTTTGTATAGTTTTCTAAGATTTTCGCGTTTTGTTTTGTCATACTTCATTTATACAGGGTGAGTCACTAAGCGCGCGTTTCTCGATATCTCATTAATTATTATTAGAAATGGGAAAAAAATCGAAAATCAAAGTTGCACGGTACTCTACTTTTACCCTAAAATTATTTTTAACTGTACAGTGTGTTCTGTTTTTAAGGCGTGAATTTTTCTAACAATGGAAGGGTTAACAAAAAAAATCGCAGTAGGGTTATTTTTAAAATCTGTGTTACAATATTTTGTAGAGAGATAAATAAAGGTAGGCGCTGTGTTGGGGTATAAATGTAATGAAAGTTTCATATGCAGAATATGAAAAGATATTAAGTGTAATAAAATACAGGGTTCTATTTGAAAAAACTGAAATATCATTCAAGTGATACTACAATAAAACGCGTATTTTTATTTATCCTTCCACCAAATTTCTAAGAAGACTTATCTTGTTTTTTTGTGACCACTTTCTTAGCCAAACATTTCAAGAAAATTGGAATAACGTGGCATCGTTGCACCGAAATTTCAAAAATAAACCGTAGTTATAGACCTTAGGAAAAGGCTAATGAGAATATGTAAAAGAAGCATTCTGTATAGTTAAAAATAATTTTAAAGTATAATCCTTAAAGAACCGTAACTTTGATCTTCTACGTTTTGTTTGCCCCTAATGATTAATATATAATTCGCTGCTAAATTTATTTGTTACTTCTGCTTTTGCTGTTGATTGTTCTCCTCTTCATAAGTAAATTTGATGCCATCAAATTGCTTAGTCAATTGTGAACCAGCTCCTTGATTATTTTTACCGGTGGAAAAATTGTCCGTTGAATGGTTGAATATGATTTGGTAATTCAATATTAATTACTGCTATTAGTTCTTATTGTTATTTTCCCATGTTTTATGTTACATTTGTTCACAAAATATACAATTTTAAATTGAATTTATTTTTTCATTGTTGACTTCAAGAGCGTCATAGTTTATTTTAGAGCTGTGTATTGTTACTGGTTCTTCGAGTGAAGGTAATGCCATAATTTGCAGCCTATTTCATTTGATTTGATTTTTCTTTTTCAGATTGTCCACGATCGAAATATGTGTTCTACTCAAATGTTGTGTGTTTTCTAGCCTTAATAAACATCTGTTTAAATGCGTTTTTTGTGTTATCCAAACCCTGTTTTCGTTTTTATAAAAAAAATCTCCACTGTTGTAACACCATATAACGTTTTATTTTTTCAGGTCGCAAAAGCCCCAACTCAATTACACTTGTAACATATGTTCGGAGGAGTTTCCCAACAAAAATGAGTTCCTCAAGCACCATTTGCATCAGTACGGTCAGACCTTCAACTGTTGTAAATGCGGCAGCAAATTCAAGACCACGACCGAGCTTTACGCTCATCAGGAAGAGCACAAAGCTGAGACCACCCTCCTCGTGACCGACCATGGCGAAATCGTCGAAGAAATCGTCTTAAATTACGAAAACGAAGAAGAAATCACAGACAACAGTGAACTGTTGTATATCTTAGATGACTCGCAGTGCGTTAATGAGGTCATTATAGATGAAGACGTTCCTGTTCAGCAGGAAGTAGAGAAAAGGTCTGACAACTTGACGCTTGTGCAGTTGGAGCACGGCTACGTTATTCCCAACGCCGAGGAAGAAGGAGAAGACGAAACCGAAGAAGGGTTGACTATTAATGGTCAGGAAACGACGACTCTTCCGGTTAGAGTACAGCCTTCGACGAGTAAAACTGTGTTTCAGCCTAGAGTTAGAGCCTCTTTGCCAAAACGGCGCCAAGGTGTGCCAGACTTTTCCACTACGAACTACTTATTTGTAAGTGCGAATGAGGAAGTAGATATTCCTCACTACAAGTGCTTACGCTGCGAACAGTTGTTTATAAATAAATTTGTTTTCTTTCGACACATTGAAAAAGGAAAATGCTACATCAATAATTGTGATGTTTGTAGCGCCACGTTTAACAAAAACAGTGATTTCTATTATCACTATGTGGTCGAACATACGGATAGAGCGATTTGTAACTTCTGCTTCAGGACCTTTATGTATGAGAAAAACGTTAAGGAGCATATGTTGAGGCACTTGGACCAGTTTAGACACCGATGCGATGAATGTAATAAAGGATTTTATACTGTAAGGGAATACAGGAATCACTATAAAAATAGACACATGGGTATCAGACACACTTGTTCCGTGTGTAGTAGAAGCTTTGCTGATGAATATTATTTCAAACGACATATTGCTACACATGGACACGCTAATGTGGTCACTGAAGAGAAAATATTTCATTAAGGTTGCAATTGATAGTAAATAAATTTTGTGTTTTATTTAATCCCTTGGTTAGTTTGCAAGTGTTTGGCTGGTTCAGAGGTGAAATATCAATCAGTGTAAATATTTGTACATGTTTATAAATAAGGATGTAAAAATGTCACAAACCGAGTTCAACTTTTGGTACAAAGTAAAATTTTTTAACTTAGGTATAAGATTATGTGTGTGTTATACATTTAGACTAAGCAGTTTACTTTATAGTAGCTCTAGAAAGTAGTCACAAAAACAGTAGATATTTTAGTTATTGTGTTTCTGTCTTTTAACCATTGATATAAAAATTAATAAATATTTTAGTATCATTAATTATTTGTTCTTTTAATTGTGCGGCTTGAATATTTTGTGAAAATTGGTGAAGTTGAAAAGTCACTGTTACAAGGATTCTACAAATTGTTGTAAGTTAGTTTATGATATTTTTCTTTATATTAATTTTCTTTTCTTTTAGATTTTGGAAAGTCGAAGTCGAAAAATCTTATTGTAGTCGGGGCATTATCTACATTTTTTATCAAACTAGTAATTACCAAGAGGTATTTCATGCACCTGAAATACATTTGATCTTATTAGATTAAATGCAGTGTTTCTTACGAAATTTTAACAATACCGTGCAAATTCTAAAATGAAAATTAAAATTTGTTTGATCATCCCTATCCAAAACGAATGACACCTACTCAAAATTTTGCTGCGTAACTGTTGCTTAAAATTTGTAAAATGCTTTTGTATCTGTGATTTATTAGTCTTAATTTTTAACGTTAATCATGTTTGTTTTTCGAAAAAAGTTAAAATTTGCCCAATAAAATTTACAGTTTAACATTGGAACTATGAAACCGATTACGAAATCCTGTACACAAAGATATGCGCCTTGTTGTGGTGTAAATTAAGTTCTGTTTTAATATACAGAGTGTTTATAAAAAATTCTATTGTCTCGCCATACATGTACCACAGATTATAAAAATAACCTCAAAAGATCAAGGTCTGTGAAAACAAACTACGCAACGGGAGGAAACATAGCGTGAGCAGGGCGAAGGGCGTCTTCTCGTGAATTTTCTTAACTATAGTTACAACATGCGAGATGCGTTTAAATGTTGAGCCTTACTTTTTCCTTCGCAAAGGAGACAGCCAACTAGACGGTTTGATTCACTGCTAAACATTCACATGAACAACAGCATTGAAAAAATAAATTCTCAGTTTGAGTTTGTGCTCCCAGTAATCCATCACCGTCACGCGTTAAAGTTAAAATTTGAATTTTGACGATAGCAGCATGAGTATTACAATCACAAGCAAAGAAACAATAAATTTAATTATGCCATAGTCTATCAAGAATTTCAAACAACAAAGACACATGATGTAAAATTATGCATTAGTAGTTGAAATTAATTATTACATCAACATGAGTTAATAAACATCACATCGTGGACCCAATGAATTTCCAATTCACATAAACCAAACACGCATGAAATATACGCAACAGGCTCATATCCCTTAATTTCAAAATCAAAATAATAATTTGAGAATAAATGTTTAAATTCAAGGTGTAAGGGAATATTGAAAACCTTACGGTTCCTAGTCCATATTAATTTAATTGATGATAATTTTCAAGATGGATCTATGTTTAAGATTAGTTTAACTGCCATAAAAGAACTATTATAAATCTCAAGTGTGAAGTGGACAATGTAACTACGTAAAAACATCCACAACTTCAGACATATCGCCACTAAAAAATAACTTGAGCCTGAATAAGTGAATTTCCGGCACGTGTTTCATATGAAAATTTACATTATTGTAATTAAATTGTGTTAGAACCATGAGCAGTTAAAAATTTTACATGCACTGTGAATTTAGAAAAAATAAAATAAAAATAACACGTCGTAAGGAATTCGTCAAAGTTTTCACGTTTCCGTTTATAAAATCGCTAATTAACTGTTCTTGCACTGATTACACTCGTTGAGGGGAACGGTGGCGTCGAATGCGATTCATGCAATTACAAGAAGTGCAAACATGCAATTACAAGAGGTACAAATTTTAAGACGTGTTTGTACACACAACACCCAAACAAGATGTGTGGCGTTTTAAAATTCTATAGAAATTGTAGCTTTAAAAATTACCTACAATAAAGGTTTAATCCAGTTGTTCAAATTTTTTTTATTACTAAACCATCTTGCCCCTGTTTTCCGTTTTTCATAGAACATGTATTTATTGTAATTTTTGTCATGTGTTTCCATTTTTAATTACATAAACAATAAAATACTGTATTTTTTTCAGTTCGCTTTATCAAGATCACTTATACTCTACAAATTATACCGAAATGTCATCCCTTCAGTGTAAATACCTCATGAATTTAGTGGATTCTAAACAAATTCCGGAAGACAACATTCTCGAAAGTTCCGTGGTGGACCATTTGAACGAATCAGATGCCGATCTCTTAAACCTTCTAACGACCGGAGACGACTGTTCCGACATCCTTAACAACATTGCCACGAATGAACAGTTCGAGCGACTTATGAACAGCGATTCCAATTTCGTGGACGAAATAATCGACGAAATGAAAGAAGAAACGCAAAAAGTAGAAAACACGTTCAAGTGCTATCAGTGCGGGAAGGTTTTCAAAACAAAGAAACTGTTAAAGAAGCATCTTTTTATTCACACGGGTATTCGTAAGTTCTCGTGTGAGGTCTGCGGGAAGAGTTTCAAATATAGATATGAAGTGGATGTCCACAAGAAGAGTCACAACAACCCTACTTTCCAGTGTGATATTTGTTCGAAGATGTTTATACACAAGTCGCATTTGACAACGCATCGTCGTAAGCACCTGAATGAGTTTGTCGACTTCTGTCAGGAGTGCAATATGGGTTTTGTGACGAAATTTTTGTATACGAGTCATGTTAATCTTGTACATAAGAATTTGCAACTGGTGTGCGATACTTGCGGAGCAAGACTCAGCTCGTTGTCTTCTTTGAAAGAGCACCAGTTGACTCATGATCCCAACTATGGTAACGAAAGGCATCATGTTTGTGAAATCTGTGGAAAGTCTTATCTGAGTTCGCGAAATTTAAAGGGTCATATGAAGATACATAAACAAATTCGGAGTTACGTTTGCAACATCTGTGGAAAGTCAGTTAGCAGTAAAAAGATATTGGAAACACATATCAAAATGCATACAGGACTTAAAGATTTTATTTGTAAGGTGTGCAATAAAGGGTTTGCTTCGAAAGAGTATTTGAATGTCCATACTAGGATACACACAGGCAATAAACCCTTTAGTTGTGAAACTTGTGGGAAGAGATTTACACAGAAGACTTCCCTGACTGTACACATGAGGCACCACACTGGTCAGAGACCTTACAAGTGTGAATGTGGGAAAGAATTTACCACCAAGAGCCACTTGATGACACACTATAAAGCGCACGATGTTGGTGGAGTTGACATAGATCTGATTTCGCGACCTGTATAGACGAATGCTTTTGAAATGGATATCTTTGTCTTGTAAAAATTGCGTTCCTAATAAATAATTTAAAACTAATTTTGTATTATTTGCACCAAATTCTATTTTGTGGAATCATATTCGAAAATAATTACAAAAATTTTAGGTGCGAGAACTATGAAAAGCGACAATCCAAGAAAAGTGTAGGGAAAACAAAATGTTGCACCCTTTGTTCTAAGACGTTTCCAAACAATGCTAAACTGGAGCGTCACATGCTGGTGCATTCCGATCTTCGACCGTACTCGTGTGATCTTTGCCCAAAAACCTTCAAACAAAAATATGATATAGTGATCCACAAACGTGTCCATGATAACCACTCTTCATTTCCATGCGACTTTTGTGAAAAAATATTGAAAACTAAAGGCTCCTTGATAACCCACAGGAAACGCCATTTGAAAGATTACGTTCAAGTGTGTAAAATTTGCGGCGCTGGGTTTGTCACCAACCAAGAGTATAACAACCATGTGGGTTCGAAACATGGTACTGGTGCCCATATTTGTCACATCTGTGGAAGAACTTGTTACGACAAAGCGGCTTTGCAGAGTCATATGGTCAAGCACGATGACGGATATAAAAATAACAAACTTAAATGCGAGTTTTGTAGTAAAACTTTCCTACAACAGAAGTACTTAAAGCAGCACTTCTTCCGGGTACATAAGGATGGGGGACACAAATTTATATGCGATTTGTGTGGAAAAAATGTGCATTCGAAAACTAGCTTGCGGGATCATATGATAACGCATTCGGGTTTAAAACCAGTTGAATGTAAACAATGTGGGAAAAAATTTGCTTTGAAAACTACACTGAGGGTACATATGAGGATCCACACTGGAGATCGTCCTTATGTTTGTAAAAATTGTGGAAAAGCGTTCACTCAGAAAACGGCTTTAACGACACACTTGAGGTACCACAGTGGAGAAAGACCCTACGTTTGTGATATATGTAGCAAAGGTTTTGTCAGTCGGGGCTTGTTAAATCTACACCTAAAAAATAAACACCACAAACTGGAACAAATATGCTGATAATATGCTATTTCTTGTTAATAAATTATTTTGCTTAAGTTGTGTTTTCTGTCAAAACCTTGTCCTTCTGTTAATTTTGTAAAATAGTACTAATAAAATACTTGTTTGTAGGTCTGTTAAACAATCTCTTAGTACAAACTCCAGTGGGAAGAAAATTAAAATTTCGTCTTGTACGGTGGTGAGCGTAGTTAAAATGAATAAAACTAGAGAACCCAACACATCGACAAAATTAACACCCGCTGGTACTACCGTCAAGAACGCACAATATTTTTGTTCCAAATGCAGAGAGACGTTCCATAGTTATCACGAATTAACAATCCATGACAAATCGTGTGTTAAACCTAGAGTCCCCCACGTTTGCAAATATTGCCGAAAGGACTTCAGTTCGGCCTACAGTCTAAAGCTCCACATTGCCCGTCACGAAACTGCCCCTCAGTACGCCTGCGCAAAGTGTGGCAAGGGCTTTAGTAACATCGAAGCTAAAGAATACCACGAGGACACCCTCCATACAGAATTTTTCGACGCTTGCGCAGAAGGTGGTGTTCAGTGCAAATTATGTGACGTCAAGGCGGTCAACAAAACAATGATGGACAAACACATCAAGGCCAATCACACGGTTGAGGCGCCATGTTTGTGTGACGTCTGCGGTAAAAGTTTTGACACTAGAAAAAAGTTGTTTTTGCACCAGGTGGTACACGAGACTGGAAAATCCTGGCAGTGCGAGTATTGCTCAAAGAGTTTTAAGCACAAGAATGCCCTCAACGCTCATATGAACATTCACGAAGTAAGGAGTTTTGAGTGTGACGAGTGTGGACGTACGTTTAAGAAAAAGTTCACCTTAAATTGTCATAAAAAGGAACACTTGGGGCAGTATACGTTCCAGTGCCATGTTTGCGGCAAAAATTTTGTTTGTAAGAGTTCTGCGATCCATCACATGAAGAGACATACAGAATAGTGTACATTTTTGTTAATAAATATTTTACTAAAACACAGTTATTTAGTTTTGACACAAGTTCTAGATTTATCTGATTTCTACTGTTTGATTTATTGTTGTTCGACATTTAGTTCTGTCTTTGTTGTAGGGGCACCTCACTGTTAGAGAAATTAATTTGTGGTCCCTCAATATCTATAACACCAGTGTCTACTCATACTAAAATTCGTAAACGAATTAAAAGAACAGATAGTACCGTAGTACAAATGCTTGACTTCGAAGAAGACGAAGTGTCACAGGAGGAACAAGATCCTTTGGAGACCAAACCACATCAAACTGAAGCTGTACACTGCGAAATGTGTGACGAGAGCTATCCAAACAGTGTAGCCTTTGCAGTACACTCAATCGTACACAATTCTGACAATAAGTACTCTTGTCACTTCTGTGAGTACCGCAACGCTTCCAAATACCACATCGAAATGCACATTAAAGCCCATGAAGGTACGACCAAGTACAAATGCGAAATCTGCCAGAAAGCCTTCACTGTTAGTACGCATGCCATCGAACACAAGTACTTTCACACTGGAGAAAAACCATTTCAGTGCGAAATTTGTGGCAAACACTTCATGTTCTCTTGGTTTTTGACGTCACATCGTCGCACTCAACACTGGGAGATCATGACTGGTACTCCCTTAGTGAAATATGATTGCACTATTTGTAATAAGCACTATACTTCTTCGACGGGTTTGAGAAGGCATAATATGAGCAAACATAACGCTGGAGGAGGAGATTCGTCCATGTTGTGTGATATTTGTGGCAAATGTTTGTCCAGCAAAGAAAAGTTGAAGTTCCATAGGAGGATCCATACGGGTTATAAACCATTTGTGTGCGTAATTTGTACTAAAAGTTTTTCGCGGAAGGAACAGTTGAAAGAACACGAAAGGGTGCACACTGGAGAGAAACCCTTCATTTGTAACTTTTGTGGGAAAGGGTTCACTCAAAGGTCACCCTTGAGGATTCATGAAAGAACGCACACCGGGGAACGTCCGTACATATGTAAGATTTGCGGGAAGGGATATATTTCTAAGGGTGTTATGGACACTCACATGAAGAGTTGTTCAGCAGTACATATATATTGAAGTTATTGTTATTTGTAGACAATTTATATAAATTGTTGTCAAATGTAGTTGTGTGAATAAATATTTTTATCTAGTTTCTTAAGGAGTTTTATGTATCTGTTTGCTATCTTGTTATAGGTAAGTTCGTTACACGTGAAGGAGTAATCAAACTAATTGTTGGTAGTTACAGGAATGGAGTTGTGTTTGGTTAAGTGGTGTAGTGTTCTACAGATTGAACTTCGAATTTTGTACCACATAGTGATAATAAAAAGTTGTTTCTCTTGTCTTGTTTTTAATGTTTTTTGTTACGTTTACAATGTTCTAATTAAAACTTTTTTAGGTACATTCCTGAGTTCATGAGTCCCATCGTGACAATAAAAGAAATCGAACCGCAGAAGCCCGCACGAAGAAAGCGAAAGCCCGCCGAAGTCGTCTCTTGTGATATTTGTGGCAAAACTTTTAAACAGAAAACGGGTCTTAAAGATCACCTCATTATGCACAGTAAGTGCTTTCACTGTGAAAAGTGTGGTAGTACCCATAAGCACGTCGTCGACTATGTTACCCACATGAGGATTCACAGCGATCAGATGGACTTCCTTTGTATCTTCTGTGATTTTACAACGGACAACATCGTCGAAATCGGCGAACACTTAAAAAGTCGTCATGAAGATGAACACCCGTACGCCTGTGATACATGTAATCAAAAATTTCCTATTCTTAGCTGGTACAAAGAACACGAAAATGATCACAAGAACCTCAAACCGTTCAAATGCGATCTGTGTGATAAGAGTTTTGCGTATTCTCGGTACTTGTCGGTGCATCAAGCAATCGTACATAAAGCTAATCCAGACTTGCACGAGTGTGTGGTCTGTAAGAAGCAATATCAACACAAAAACAGTTTGAAATTGCACATGAACACTCACACCGGGAACGTGTCTGTATGTGACGTCTGTGGTAAAGTTTTGTCTAGTAAAGAGAAGTTGAAGTTTCATTTGAGGACTCATACGGGTTATAAACCCTTCTGTTGTACTTATTGTGGCAAGTGCTTTACGAAGAAGCCGATTTTAGTCGAACATATTCGGATTCATACCGGGGAAAAACCGTACGTGTGTCACTATTGCATGAAAGCGTTTTCGCAAAGGTCGAGTTTGGTGATTCACATCCGGAGTCACACGGGGGAAAGACCGTACGTTTGTACAGGGTGCGGAAAAGGTTTTGTAGCCAAGGCTATGCTCAACATACACATGAAGAGTTGCAAGGGCCCGTACATGTTTTTGCATAATTTTTCGTAGTTGTACATTAGGTTTGCTACAAAACTTGGGGTGGGTCGAAATACCAAGACCATAATATATTGTCTGTTAAAAGTTAGAGAGAAATGAGACGCTGTACAATCGTTTATGAAAGTACCATAAGTTTCGTATTGTTAACTTGTAGAAACGAACTTGAAATATTTTGATGTTCGTTTCGTGTTGTTTTCCTCCAGGGGGTTATTCTCATGCTTTCACGTTTTTATGTCAAGATAGGGAGATTTAAATACAACGACGACGTTGATTTTTTTAGTTTGTTCAACTGGTTTTGAAGACTTGTTTCAGTGAAGACTTGCATACACCAATCTTTTAGTGTGTCTTTTTTTTTATTTAAAAATCATTCACGTTTGCACGTTGTTTGTAGAACATGTCTGGAAAGTAGTAAATTGTGGAGAAACTGTCAGACTTTGTGTTTTTTTAAACATTACGAAAGTATTATAAGACATTCCATGTTAATCAGCGGCCAACAAAATGCAAGTGTCTTGAAAAGGTTTCCGCAATTTGCTGCAATCAACAAACAAGTTGATTTTTCGTTGATATGAAGGTTCCTTTGTGAATGTTTTTTATTTGATTAATTGCAAATAAGGAATGA